TAGATTGCACTATGGGTCTTAGGAATTAATTACATTTCATCCGAAGATTATAGTATAATTCTTTCTGTATATTAAGGGAAATCTCTCTGGAAAGTGATAATTTATAAAATTTAGATAGCCGCCGCCGGAACTGAAACTTATCTTTTATTTGGAGAGGGAAGTTCTTTTAAGTAGATAATTATGGTTGAATTCAGGAAACGGAAATCTGATGATTCATATGACGAGCGGGAGTTGCAAAGCAAAATTTGTTTTCTTTAGGGGAAAATGGCTATCCCTAGAATAAATAAAATTTCTTTTCGTATGTATGGCCGTATGTTCCTTCACCATCTTTGATTTTATACTTACGTATATTTTTTACTTTTTATTTATTCCAATTTTTTAACATTTTTTTTTTGTTCTTATTAAACTTTTGATAATGAATGTGATACCACGGTACATATCTCAAAAAAGAAAAAAAAAACTTTGGAAATAAAGATTGGAATGAAGAAATTTGGAATAAAGAACTTTGTTAAATCGAGTGATAATTTTTAAAACTTCCAAGATTTTTTTTCGCAAAAAATTGAAGCAGTTCAGTTGTGCATAGTAAATTTTGTTAGGTAATTCAATAGTATACCGTTGTCTGCTTTTAGTTTTTTTTTTTTTTAAAATTTCTCTTTACCTCTTTATTTATTTATTTATTATTATTATTTTTCTTAACGGACAAAAACCAGATTCACCAACTACTTGAGGCTGTTTGGAATTATTTTTGTCAATGGTCGTGAACTTTTTGAACAGGCATTTTTTTGAACGAACGAAAACCAGAGACATTAACTATTTGAGAGTCATTTAGAAAATCATTTAAATTATTAAATAAAAAACAGTTAATAATTAAAAAATGAACTTGTATATGCATTTATGATAAACAAATCTATTTCCAAGTTTTCTAAAGCGTTTTCTGTCAAAATTTTGTTCAATCCTCTGAATAATTATAAAGATTGAAATGGAATTATTCATTTAGAAGAACGAATTTTTATGACTCTGCGTTTTGTTGAGGTTAATTTGTTTACTGCTTTCTTTTTGTTTTAAATTTTTTTTTTCTAGATCAAATGCTCTTATAACAAGCATTTTCTAATAATAATAGTAATAAAGGAAATCTGTTATTGTCTTGGAAAGTAAAAAAGGATGAGAGCTGTCCGATATAAGATACCAGTTATACAATAATTATGCGAATTTAATGACTCGTTCCATTTTAGCCACTGGGCCCAAATTTAAAGTAATTAAATATTTATTGATATATAATTTTAATATATAAGTATTAATTTAAAGTTTACGGAAAGGAATGTTTCATATTTTTTTAATTACATAATTGATTAGGACTCTTAACAAGCTCTAAACATTTTCTAAATTCTAATTATAACATTTTTCTTTAGTGTGATGTAAATAATCGTTTAAAAATAATAGTTTTTCATCTAGTGATTTTTTTTTAAAGATGTATTAAAATGAATAACTTTTTTTTCTCTCGTTAATATTTCTAATTACATTACAAGATTGACCCCTGAGAGACTATTGTTAATGCATGTAATAATATTACTATTATAAGAAATACGATTTAGAAAATATAAAACATTTTAAGTTCCTTTCCCTTGACTTCAAATTAGTCTTTGTAAATTAAGTAATTAAAGAAATCTTATTTTATTTGAATAACGTATTTAATCACAAAAAATTTAAGGCGTTTCTCCTGCATCGAATTAATCGTTGAAATCAACATTTTTTTTTCACTGCTATTTATTTCTGAAAGTTTTTTTTCCTTGATTCGTTTTGGAAACCTTGAGGAAATGAAACTAACAATTGTTATTTTTAACAATATACAGGGTGCATAGCGTTTTTAAAAAGTGCTTAAAGGTGCTTATTTTTGATTTTCGTTTTTTAAAAGCCCTTAAAGGTGCTTTTTTCATTGAGTGTTTTTAAAAATTGCTTAATTTTCCCTTTTTCAAAATGAGATTTTTTCTTTACTATGTTGATTTTCGCTCCGAATTATGCAAAAAGACACAGTTCACAATGTTTTATTCAACGTTTTCAAAATTAATTCAACCACAATCTATTTCGGCGTACTGAAAGCGCCATTCGTTTTACAAGATTCAAAATTTCATGATTTTTGACAATTGCAAAAACAATACCAAAAGGTTCTTCTTTTTTTTTTTTTTTTTTTTTTTTTTTTTTTTTTTTTTTTTTTTNTAAAACAAGATAAAACCGTCAATTGTCAAAAACTTTCCAACCCTGCATATTTATGATATTTTTTTAAAGTGCTTAAAAATATTTTTTGAGTGCCGAAAAGGTGCTTATTTTTTGTTGAATAATTTGGCTACGCACTCTGATATTGATATATAAGATAAATTTTGGAACTAGCACTCATCATTTATATTTTTCAGTTGTTAATACGAAATTATGAATTTATTCCTTAATAATTTTAAATCTCTCCAAGAAACAATATCCTTCTCTCTTCTTGCAAAGCTATGTCGCCAATGTAGGCACCTCAAAACTCCACATAAAGGGGAGAGAGAAAAAAAATGCCTCTCCTTTTCCCCTCGGTTTCTCTTCTATCCCATGATTTATAGCACCGATTTCCTGGGATTTTCTCTTCGCTCCATAAATTATTGGCACCCCTCGTGTGACACCCCTTCCCACACCCTCGCGATAAATGAGGCACGGTGTCACTATCAGGAAAGCGGAGACGCTCGACCAAAATTCGCTGCCTAATCGGTCGGAATTATTGGGACACACTGAATTTGGCGGTCCCCGTGAAAAATTGCCTCTTCTCTCTCTCTGCTTGGTGTCTGCTTGCTTGATTAACGAAAAGGAAGAAATTCTTAAAACTTGACTCCATAATAACTTGTTAAATATACGTTCCTTGTAAAAATTTATTCAAAATTATCATTCTTGTTAATATTACATTTGCTTAAATTTATTCCCTATAAAGTATAGTTTAATGTTGAGTGTAAAAATTATAGCAGGGTTTCCGCTCACCTGGAATGTCATGAAAAATCATGGAAAGTCATGAATTTCGGTTTTGAACAAAATTTTTCATGAAATTTCTCGCTATTAACTTTTTTTTTTTTAAATAAAATCATTGATTTAGGTCGCCGAAAAATCTAATTTTTAAAATGGAATTTACCCCCCCCCCCCGAATATCTGAATTTGTCTTCAAAAATCCCCACTCACAGTCATATTTTATTAAAGTATAAAATGTTTTTATCATGTTCTTTAAAAATTATGGTGCTCTTTCAAGAAATGCAAGAAAAAATATAATTTTTAGATCTTTAAAACTTCTGTGATTTCAGAATTTTTATTTTTGCTAAAATAAAAAAAAAAATAAACAATTTTAAATTCTAGCTGAAGCAAGTCAGTCATTGGCGAATTTTTTTTTATTTATTCCGAAATGATAACAGAAAAAAGACAGGAGTATTTCTTTCCTTTCCGATGAACAAGAAAATTATCTTTAGAATATAAATCTGCAGGGAAAAAAAAAAAATTATTTGCTTATTTATTTTTTCAGCTATTTTGAAATTAAAATCTATAAATACGAAGATGTAGAGTCAGTTTTGGTTATACTACCCATCATTTCAATTAATGTTATTATAATGCCTTTTTAAATTTATTGCTGTGTCTTTGTCGGAGAAAATAGTAACTTCGTTAAGTCATGAAAAATTCTTGAGATTAGTCATGGATTTGAAAATTTAAAATGTAGCAGATACCCTGTATAGCTATTTTACATTTTCTGTTAGAAATGGGTAAACTTCTTTTTTTACCTGAAGAAACTAATAATTTTCTACGATATCTGAAAATTTCAAAATTAAGAGATTCTTAAAGCATGTTAAATACGTTCCATGTAAACATTTAGAAAAATATCTTATTAAATTACTTTTGCTTGAATTTATATCCAGTAAATTATAGTTTTCTTTTTATCGTTAAATGCAATAAGAAAAGGCATTAACGTTTTCTATTAGAAATATGTTAACGTACATTAATTAACTATTAATTTTTGTCCATATATTTAAAACTGAAAAGTTATTTTAATCAGTTATCCAAAGTGAGTTTAAAATGGAAAAAACTGCTGACATGAAATAAAAAGGACACATAATGATGGCTATAATTTTAATTCTTACTAAATTATCACAAACAAATTTTAATAAATAAATACAAACATAATAATACTCTTATTGTCTATATTTTCCAAGTGATCCTTTTTTTCTTAATTCAGAGCTGTAAATGTATTAAAAGATTTTTTACAATGGTCAGCAACTTACCTATTCATATTTTGTCCAATTCCTCGCACATGATTTTTTTTTTACGAAGTACACGAAGTTTAGTTCAAACCTAGACCCCAAAGACGGACTAAACCGAAAAATTTATTGGATTTAAGTTTGGCGAAAAATTTACTCATTCTTGCTTGGAAAGAAAGCCTTAAAAAATGCCTGTGTGGGCAGGAGCAAAATCTTGTGGAATTGCTCATTGGTGGTTTCCAAAGAGTTTTTGTGAACAAATGAACATACTCTTTCAAAAATAAGTTTGCGATATGTTTTTATTTTCTCAAAACATGTCGGTTTTAAAAAATTTAATTAAGTAAATACTTTTAGTTTAAAAATATATTATAAATTGCATTTAAAATAATTTTTACTAAGCCATATTACCATGAATTTGTATAGAAGATTCACAACTAGTATAAATTCATATTAGATTCACGAAAATTATGAGGATAAAGAAAATAATTACTAAAAACAAATCAACATGTTTTTAAATAACAAATCTTATAAAAAATGCCATTCTGGGGTATAAACAGGAGTCCACGACCCGGAAATTCTGCATACATACACAAAAGAAATACGCAATACACCAAAAATTATGAAAACATGTTTTGTCTTGAGTTAGGTTATAATATAAGCTTTCGAAAATTGGAAATTAACAATGAAGTAATAAATGTTATATTATTTTGGTTAAAAAACCTTATGTTCATTTTCTTTCAGGTTTATCAATGCCCGTAGAAGAATAGTTCAACCTATGATTGATCAGTCAAACAGAGCTGGTAAGTTTATTTCAGTCACTTTTAAAAAAGATAAGACCAGTCAGCAGATAACTCCAAAATTAAGGACGAATTCAAAAAACATCTATCGAAAAATGGAAGAAGACAGAAAGATAAGTTTTGCTCTGACCTGCTTTTTCTCATCGAGTTTCAAAAATTCATTAAAAAAATTTAGTAGAGGGCACTGCTGCACACTGAGAAAAACTATAAAAAGACGTTTTCAAGAAAACCATTATTTACAGCAACAACGAGATGCAGTCTGAGAACAGAACAAACATCCATGCAAGTATAGTGGGGCTTTGAGGAGAACTCCTCCAGAAATCTGGGGCTGTCTGCCGCTATGGTAACAAGGGAGAACACATTTCTATATGGATGAAGTGGAGGAAAGAAGGTGTCGATTGGTTTACTCACGACGACCTAAAGATTAAGATAAAACTATTTACCCCGCACCCCTATTCGAAGTGACCTTTCCTCGTTACCATAGTACCCGCCACGACGAGAGACGGGTGTCTGGAGGAGTTCTCCTGAAAGCCGCTCTATATTTCAGATGGAATGGCTTGACCTGCAACAAAAACATTGTTTGTTTTTTTTTCCGGTTCGCAATGTTATTTGACAAAGAACTCAGTAACAAATTTAATAATTTGGCGAGAAAAAAAATACGGTTTCTTAAGCAGAACTTGCAAACTGATCGTTTCTATATCCTTCTATTTTTTTTTAAAATTGATTTTTAAAATCTTTGGTCTACTTCGGCGACATCCGTTAAATATATGCTAGGATGCTTTATTTTGGAAGATACTGGAAGCAACACTGTACTCAATTTCCTTGTCTTTTTTCTTCCAATTTTCAGTGCTCAAATCAATTAATACTATAACAGCATAATGATCACAATATGCACATAATAAACTGTACAGAATAATATTAATTTGAAATGAACAAAATCACACGACATTGTGATTTTGTTCATTTCAAAAAACTTCTTTTTAAAATAAATATATAGATTGTATTGTTTCCTTAGAGTTTCCGGACAGTTTTTATTCCTCACACTTCTTAATAAACATTTTAACAATTTAGTGCATTCCTTTTCTTCAAAACTGCTTTACTCACGCATCAGCGCAATATGAACGAAATCGGTCAAATAATTTCTGAGAAATATAAAATTTTTGAAAATCCTTAATTTATAATTCGCTTTTTTTCGAGAGTTTATTTGACCGATTCATCGAATTTTGTGAATTCAGTTAAAATTATAATTCCTTAGCTCATTTTTTTTTTTTTTTTTTTTTTTTTTTTTTTTTTTTTTTTNTTTTTTTTTTTTTTTTTTTTTTATAAAAATGTATAATGTGAAATGCAAAATTAAAAATGTGAAATTCAAAAAATTATCAAAAACTATAAAATTCTGAAGCAAAAAATAAATAATTATATTATTAATTATTAATATTTAGGATTATATTAAATTATTAATATTTAAGGAATTTAGATCAACTAATTTTATAATTTTGTGAAAAATAAAAGCATTTTGATTCGCTTAAATAGTTCAAGGGAAATATCGTCGCAATAGTCTGTGGTTTGGAACCAGAGTCTTTAAATTCTGGCTCCAATTGTACTCATATTTTGAGGATTAAAATTTTTAATCCGGCAGGGAAAGCATAACCATGTTTTTGAGAGGTAATTGATCTCTAACACCAAGTAAAATGCTTAAAATTTACTCTTCAAACCATAGTTTAATAAGTGAAAATTGTGTCATTACATTAAAAGCTTATCTGAATCATCTTTTTCTTATTCCAGTTGTACTTTTTAAATTCATAATTCAATAACTTATATCTCGTTTTCGTAGGAGGGACTATGGGAACACCAGGACCGACATACAGCCCTGAATCCTCTGGTATGGGCTATATGATGGATGGAGTGTCGCCCATGCATATCAGATCATCCAGTAAGTTGTTTAAATATCAAAAAACGGGCTGCATCACATGGTTTGATTTTATAAAATGTTATTTATAATTTTTCATAACTCAACAGCGTCAACACGTTTTAATGTCTAAGGTTAAGTAAAACAATAACAGGGTGCGTAACGTTTTTAAAAAGTGCTTATGTTCGATTTTCGTTTTTTAAAAACTTTTAAAGGTGCTTTTTTCATTGGGTGTTTTTAAAAAGTGCTTAATTTTCCCTTTTCTAAAATGATATTTTTCCTTTAGCATGGTGATTTTCACTACGAATTATGCAAAAAGTCAATTTTCACATTGTTCTACTCAACGTTTCCACAATTAATTCAACTTTAATCCATTTTGGCGTACCGTCTGTCTGTTGTGTATGGAAACGCCATTCGTTTTACATGATTCAAAATTTCATGATTTTTTATAGTTGTAAAAAACTGTGAACAAAAGTATTTTTTTTTTTACATGACGGTTAAACCGTTAATTGTCAAAAACTTGCCAAACCTGTCTAATTATGATTTTTTAGTGCTTAAAAATATTTTTTGAGTGTTTGAAAAGTACTTAAAAGGTGCTTATTTTTTTGTTGAAAAATTTGGCTACGCACCGTGAATAATCAAAAGTCGAAGCATAGATGCCTTACCCTTATTAAATTGAACCGCAAAAAATGTGATACTTTTATAATTTTGAATACTTTAAATATGCATTGTTGTGGACTATCCCCTCTAAGTAGCACTTTTCTTTATCCGTTATTATAAATTTAAACAATAAAGATAAATTTTGATCAGACAATTCTTTTCATCAGTATTTAGCTCTCCTTACTGTTATTTTTAAAAATTATGCTAATTAATGCTTGTTTCATCAATATGTTTTCCTCATTTTTCTTATCATTATATCTTCTTCATATTGTTTGATTTGCAACTTATTAACGTGGAACATCTTTTCCACTGTCATCAATTATTGATTCTGGCTTATAACAACAAATTATTGGCCATTTTTTGTAGAAATCAACTTACAAATTTTCAACCAACATCAGTCTGAATCACAATTTAATAGCACTTTAATGTTAAAAAAAACTGTTCATTTCAATAATTACGACCTTTTATTTAATTGTTATAGCTTGATTAAAGTTGTACTCTATATCTAAATATATATAATCTTATATGTGAAATTAAAAAAAAATTTTTTTTTTGCATATCAGGCCTGCAGAATTTGCCTTGCCCAGAGAACATGACCATTGGCCATATGGCAGGATATTCTCAGCTCAGGTCACCGGTCCACTCTCAAGGAATGCTTCTTTCTGGACACCCTATGATGATGTCACATGGTGCACTACCCCCACCTCCGCATGGATCGCCTTATGATAGTTCTCCCCCCAGTATTATGGACTTGCACAATAGTTAGTTTATAAACCAATATTCTTGATATGGATAATTTTGTGTTGTGTAGAACTTTGTCCATTTTGTATACCTCCCCCAAAAAAACCTTAATCATGTTCAATTTTGTAGTGCAATAATAATTTCATTTCAAGTGTCATAAATTTATTGTTACTGTGGCTCTTCCACTGCAAAAATGCTCGTCAATTCTACAGGTTTTAAAATTATTAAAGAAAGAATTTTTTTAGCATAACTTTAGTTCTTATCCTTTATTGTTAATAACTTCGTCTGAAATTAAACATATACGTATTAACAATATAACTTAAAAAACAATATTTTAAAATGCTACAAATTTTAACCACTTACTTAAAAGAAATCAATTATTTAAATACATTTTAGCTGATATATGTTGTTAATTTTAATATAGTTTTTATCATTATAAATTGTGTATTTTATGTTTTTAAAAAAAAATAGTTTGTGTTCAAATAATTGTCGGAATGTTTAGTGATTTTTGTACAAATGAATGGTCATGTTAAGTTAAAGTGTGTATCTTCTTAGAAAAATGTTTTAAAATGTGATGATGATTGCTGTAAAACGTCTTTGTATATAAATATAACACTGAATAAATTAATCAGTATTAAATTACATACTTTATTTGTCTCTTAGATTATTTGTTTCAAATCAATAGTTTTTGAGCTATAAGAATTTAAATGGTTTTTTGAAAAAACCAGGGTTTAACGGTGCAATTTTAAGAAATTACTTTCTAAAGTTTTTTGTTTTGTTTTTAACTTTTTGCCAATGTTACAATTTAAATGCTAAGTTCTGGGCACTATTTTAAAAATTAATAGATAAAAAAAACTATAAAGGTTGTCCCAACGAAAATTGGACCGGTTGAATAAAAAGAATACCCTTATTGGAAATTAAAAAAAATTGTATTGGCGTTGTAACACAGGTTTTATCGTTTAGGTAAACGATAAAACCTGTGTAGGATCTACGCCTCCGCTGCAGAAAGATTATGGTTGTTTAATATGTTGAGCAGTTTTGTGAAAATGAACGTTAGTGGTCGAATTTTTTCATATTTCAAAACTTACTTTAATGCTGCATTTCTTGGGCTTATAAAAATTTGCAAAAACTGAGAATAAGGCAGAGATTTTGATAATTTACATCTTGGTGGAAAAATGTCGCCTAATTAGCGAACTTTTAAAATATTAAATTTATTTGTCCGTTCTAAAGCCCAGGTAATTCCCCACAGCAAGATTATATATATAGAGAGAATAAAATCATCGCATTGGTTCAAGTGCGCAAAAAAGATACCGACATCTACCAGAGTTTTCAAAGAAAGGCAGTAGAGCAAGAGGAAAATACTAAATAGATTTTGAATCTGAGTTAATTAATTTCGGACGTCGCAAAAACCGGGAATTAGTGCAACTTATTACGCAAAAAAATTAATAATTTATATTACTATTATAGTTACTACTAATTTATAATGCGAAAAATCGTGCGTAAAACTTATTTTTTTCTCATATTTTTAACGCAATTTTCAAACTGGCTGACAGTATGGCACAGTAAACTAACAGATTTCAAGATAATTCTGAATGATCCGCTAAACATTTCGAATATTAAAACTTTTAACTAGGATGCATTTTTAGTTGGGATCGACCAACGTGGTTTTGTTATGAAAATAGGAATTCCTTATTGATTCGAAGATAGAAAAGTATAATAATTTAACATAGATTTTCGAAGCTCTTTCTCCAAGAAAAAATTTAAAAAAGTAGCAGTTTAAGTGCTTTTACTAGACCGCAAAGTTATTATTTTTAAATTATATATGTCATTTTGCCGTGAAGAATTATCTGGACTTTTAGAAGGAACAAACAACTTAAAAATTAGGCAACATTTTTCCACCTAGATCAAAATTATAAAATCAATGCCTTATTCTTGCAAATTTTTATGAGCCCAGATAATGCAGCACTGGAATAAGTTTTTAAATATTAAAAAATTAGACCATGTCGCAAAAAAGCTTAGCTTAGCTAGGCCTAAGTGGTATGTTAAATCGCAGGTTAGGTTCAGCTAGGCCTTAATTATAAATTGTGACTTTTCCTCATAATGATGTTTTGCGCCATTTTCATAATAAGTATAGAAGGCGCTTGCTAAATATAGTCTAATCTATCTTGTCGTACTAATCAATCTGGTTGTAAGTTTACCGGGCCCCTCTCTCAAAGCACAAAAAAGTCTCACTTTCCTATTTTTTAGGTAATTTGGAACCCTTCATTAGAATTCGTAGTTCTAATGAAGGACTTCGAACTTCTTAAGGACTTTGAAAATGCTTGAAAGGACTTTCGGGCATTTCTTATGATTGTTTGTTTAAAAAAAAAGGAAAAAAAAAAAACTAGTTAAAAAACACAATTCTTGTAAATAATTTTTAGCGTGACCTCAACAGTCGTGGGCCCTAGATCGATTGTTCCTATCTTCCCACCTTGAATACGACCTTATATGGTCACGTGACTAAGATTTCGAATTCCTTCTCCAAAGTTTCTGTAAAAACATTAAAGCCATCTTACTTTACTTCATCTAATTCTTTTTGCTGCGTTTTTTAGCTTCAATTTAATATACTCCTCATTAATAATCAAACAATACAAAGAGCAGTTCATAAATCCTATTCAAATTCGATATCCCAAATTATAGAAACGTATCTCAAAAAGAGATTCAACAGCCCATTTTGCAGATCTAGCTGCTAGCAACGTACTAAAAGCCACCCATTTACCTACCAAAAAGAGATTGAAAAATGCATCTAGAGTTGCAGTGAGATCTAACCCATTATATCCATGCTTCTCGAGTCTCGGTGCTGCCAACTAGTGTAGCAGAAACTAGACGTCCGAATTAACATGAGCAACGGTATCTCACCCATTGTGGTGGTCCTGAAAGAGTGGATACCACCTCTGGAGCAGGGTTAAAGAGAATAGAAGGGCTGGCTCACTCCTTTGAAGAAACTCTCACCGCGCCAATCCTCCGATTTTCTCCAGTAACGTCACTTTGGCGCAAAGCTCGCACTTTTACTTCAAGAACGTTCGGCCTTGCTAGCTCTAACTAATATTGGAGCATTTTTTTTTTTGTGACATATTCTAAGACATTTGTTATTTTCTATAATGACTTTCTTCAGTTTTTGCAGTGAATTTACAAGAATTTAAAACTATTATCGAAATGCCAGTATGCGCGATTGAGACTTGCAAAATTTCTGATAAAAAAACAAAAGGAAAAACGTGTTCCCTAAAGTAAATGATCAACTATGTAAAGAATGGATTCCGCTAAAATATCCATGCTTCTGAGCGTTTGCTCGATGGAAAATGTTAGATAAAGAGGCCAAGTCAAACCGAGACTTATATCTACATTAATTGATGACCGTAAAATTTAAATTTTCATTGTTTTCTTTTATATTTACGCTACAGAATAAGTTACAATTGTATGTGGCGTTTACAAATAAAAGAGACGTTATTATAAGTGTTCTAACTAACGTATTACAGCGATCTAAAATAGCATTAAATCCTAGTTTAAAAATATGGTAACTAGAGATTCTAGACATTTTGGCTTAGCTCGGTCTCCGTGGTAGGTCTGATCACGTTAGGATTTTAGCTAAGAATTAATGGTATGTTATATCGCCATCCGTCTTAAAGGTTTAGCTAATGATAAATTACAACTTAAAATTTGGCATAGCAAGACCTTAATGATAATTTACAATATACTTCAAGGTAGGGTAAGAAAACGCTTTGTTGAATTGCCAGATTTGGATTAAATTGCCAAAAGAAATATGTTTCACAGCCAGGTTAGGCTTAACTAGGCCTAAGTGGTATGTTACACCACTAGGTTAGGTCAAAATGGTATGTTACATCATAGGTTAGGCTTAGCTAGGCCTTAATTTTATATCTTTCTACCACGTTAGGTTTAGCTATGCCTTAATAATATGATACATCGCCAGGTTAGGCTTAGCTAGGCCTAAGTGGTATATTACACCACTAGATTAGGCTTAGCTAAACTTTAATTTCAAGTAATTATCAGCAAGTTTTTAATGTAACAACTTTCAGATTAGGCTTAGCTAGGCCTCAGAAATATGTTACGTCACCTATGCAGGCTCACAAAAAGCCTTAATGACATGCTACAGAGCCAGATTAGGTATAGCTAGGCCTAAGTGCTATTTTAAATCACAGGTCAGGCTTAGCTAGGCCTTAATTTTATACCTTTCTACTACGTTAGGTTTAGCTTGAATTTAATAATATGATACCCCGCCAGGTTAGGCTTAGCTAGGCCTTAGTGGTATGTTACACCACCAGGTTAGGCTTAACTAGGCCTAAGTGGTATGTTATATCACCAGGTTAGGCTTAACTAGGCCTAAGTGGTATGTTACACCACCAGGTTAGGCTTAAGTGGTATGTTACAACATAGGTTAGGCTTAGCTAGGCCTTAATTTTAAACTCGTAATTTTATATCTTTCTACCACGTTAGGTTTAGCTAGGCCTAAGTGGTATGTTACACCACCAGGTTAGGCTTAGCTAGGCCTAAGTGGCATGTTACACCACCAGATTAGGCTTAGCTAGGCCTAAGTGGCATGTTACACCACCAGGTTAGGCCTAAGTGGTACGTTAGATCACCAGGTTAGGCTTAGCTAGGCCTAACTGGTATGTTACACCGTCAGGTTAGGCTCTCCGTGGCATGTTTGTCCTCCACATTTGGTTTAGGGAAGACTTTTTAATATGCTAAACCGCCACTGTAGGCTTTGTAAGTCTTTTATGATACGTTACACCGTTAGGTTAGGTATGCCTTAATTGTGTATCTGTCCACCACGTTAAGTCTTGCTAGGCCTAAATGATTTGTTATACAGCCTCTTTAAGCTTACTTAACTAAACCTTGATATGCTACATCACCACGTTCGGCTTAGCTACGACACAATATGTTAAACAGCCACAATTGGCTAGTAGGTCGTGAGGATAAACCAATCAATAAATAAGGTAGGTACTTTATTTACGTCGCACTAGAGCTGCACAATTGGCCACTGGCGACGGTCTGGGAAACATCCCTGAGGATGATCCGAAGACATGCCATCACAATTTTGATCCTCTGTAGAAGGGATGGCAACTCAGCTTTGGTAGCCCGACGACTTGCGCGCGAAGTCGAGCACTTTGCGGTAGAATAGTTTAACGAAGGCCCATACCGTGCACCCTCGGTCCTTATGTAGACAGATCAAAGTGGTCACCCACCCTCTTGCTAACTGCAGCCAGTGATGCTTGACTTTGGTGTTCTACTAGGAACCGTGTCTTAACGATCAGACAACTGAGGGACTAACAAATAAAGAGTAGTATCAATAATAAAGAGTTGAAAACCAACAAGAATAAGTTGAGAACCAATAAACCGAGACAGTCGAACCCGTAATCTTCAATGCTAAGCCCAAACATTCAATAGAACAGGGTTGCCACAATAAAAAATTAACAAAAATAGTTGCTTTTAGTAGCCTCAAGCATGAAAATAGTTACCTGAACAGGAACAAAAATTTATCAAAAATAGTAGCCAAATAACTAAAATTGCAGCTTAATTGTCAAATACTATGATTAGGACTGGGTGATGTCAGAAATTTTAAATCGTGATACATCGTCCATTAGACATCGCGATTTAGCATATGTTCAGAAATTACCTATGGCAAGTCTTTAGATCAATCAAAAATAAATAAAAAGGAATAAATCCATTACAAAAGAAAATATTAATTTTAAACACATTCTACTATAACATCAATATCATTGCTTAATTTTTTCAATTAAAATAATAAAGAAGTCAAAAGCAAACCCAAGCTTTATTTCCTTTTTCTCAAATTAAAAATTATTTAAGATTTATTGGTTTAATAATAATAATACTGTTACAAAATATTTTACATACTTGCATAAAAATTAAAAGAAAAAAAAAACGGAAGTAGAAAGCAAACCAAAAAAATGTTCACTGTTGAAATTTGTTGAAAAAAAAAACATGCTTTTGAAACATCATTAGACTCTCTTTTATTTATTTAAAATAAAAAGTAGTATTAACTAATGGTCAAATTCTGTACTTAATAAATGTAAAAATATTTTTACTTACTTATTATTATTTTCTATTTTGGAAATAAAATTAACTATTGAAAATAAAATAAATTAATTATTTGCTTAAAAATGATAATGACTATCAAACAAATTATAAAACAAACAAGTATTGAAATAATTTTAATAAAAATTTTTAAAAAAATTACTGTAAATACTAATGTTAAATTATTAAAAAGCGTCAAAACATCACTAAACTCTATTTAAATTTTTTTTAAAACTTTTCTTCTAACTAATAGCCAATTTTTTTTTAAAGTTTTGTTTTCAGTTTCTCAAAAATAAAAGCAAATTAAATAAACGTAAGCTTTGTTTTAATTTTTATAATTAAAAACTCAACATTTATTGATTTAAAAATAATCAAATTATTATACTTACCTACATTAAATAAATTTGAAAAAACTAACTTTTTATAAAAGTTAAATACAAAATACCCCTATTAAATTGTATCGCTTAAAATGAAAAACAATAATTGAAAAAAATCAATGAAGAATTTTTTTTTTTTTTAAATTTATATTTTCTTTTCATTGATCAATTGAGTTCAGAACGGAAATTTAAGATAACAGCAATTGTACAGCAATCGCAAAGTAACAGTAGGCCTACGAAAAATAAGTATAAGTATAAAAATAACTTCGCTAAGAGTAAAATAGTCTCCCAATAGTCGCCTATTCCTAAAAATAGTTACTTTTTTAGTCTTTTCAGGCAAAAAAAAGTCGCCATAAGGCCGAAAATAGTAGCATTTTAGTAGTCTGAGGCAACCCTGAATAGAACTATACTAGTTGAAAGGGTATTTTCGAGTTTTTGCAAATGATCTTGCAAAAAATCGGTTCTTTCGCTTTTCTTCTTCTTTAACCTGGAATTTTAATGTCTCTTTCACGATGTTTTTGTAATGATTGATTTGATTAAAAAACAAGTTTTTAAATCTTACTGTCTTCAATTTTTAGCTTTGGTAAAATATATATTTCTCAGTGCCTATTTAAATCCAGCAACATTCTGCGAAAGCTTCAATGATGTGTTGCTCAACTTAAGGCCTGACGATTCGTTTTAATTTTGGTTTTAACTTTTCATACTTAGATATAAAACTTGTACCTCAGGTGCAAATTTAAAATGAACATATTTTTATAAATAATATAAATCCTGAGTTTTATGAACTAAAACATATACAACAATTAGAATAAAGACTTTATTCATTTTTAAATTTGAAGATAAACAATATAGAATTACAATAATGAGAAACTTTCTCATTTTTCTGAAAGTACATTGGGTTTAATTTGATAAAACATAATGTGCTTGATATTCCTCTATGCACATTCTATACATTTTTTTTATACTATATAGATATAGATAGACATAAAAACTCTTTAAAATAAACTAACTATCACAAATATACATATATAAAGTCCTTTGTACAAAGACAAGTTTCAGCGATAAAGCTATGTACAGATTACGAAAGCAACTTTGACGTAAGTTTATATACAACTCTCTGATTTATTTACATACCACTCGGGACACATTCAAAAAGAAAAAAAAAATTTACATATCACAAAACAGACTTTCAGAAGTTATAAACTCAAAATACACACATTCAAAAACCAGGAACCTCTCCACAACAACTCAACTCAGCGAGCTAACTGAGCGATAAGTGCAGCACACATCTCAAAAAACTCCATAATATTATATGATTGTTGACAGTTGGACGAAATTGACTCAGTAGAACCTTAAAAACAGACAAAATAAAAATTAATAAATGCTGATGCTGACCAAATGGCAAATCAATGGCTGATGATGATCAAAACTTAAATATTTTCTAATTATAAAATTAAGTACAAAAAAATAGATAAGAAATTTTTATTTTGCTACAAAAAACCTTTTGCCTTAAAAACAAAAATTGGGGCCACGTTTTTTTTTTTTTTTACCAACAATGGACTAGACAAGTAATAACTATGTATTTAGAATATAGTTTATATTGTTGGCGAAAAATTGTGTTGTTTAGCGCTTTTCTTGAAAATGATCCACACAATTTTACACAAGTATAGTGCGGCTTTCATGAGAACTCCTCCAGACACCCGTCTCACGTCGTGTACTATGGTTACGAGGAAAGGACACTTTGAATAGGGGTGTGGAGTGAACAGTTTTATCTTAATCTCGGCATAGGTCGTCGCGAGTAAACCAATCGACACCTTCTTTCTCCCATTTCACCCCCATTAGAAATGTGCTCTCGCTTGTTACCATAATAGCAGACAGCGGCAGACTTTTAGTCTGGAGAAGTTCTCCTCAAAGCCGCACTATACCCTTTTCACTTATTATGATATAAACAAAATGGATTGGATGCTTTTTAACATTTAAATTTAATGGCATGTGTCACAGTGGCCTTCCAATTGCATATTGAGTGACTATATCTTAACAAATTTAACAATGGATCTTGTAATGAAAAACATATTATACTTACTCTGACTATCAATACCTTCTTCATTGTTTGCAAGTGACTTGAAATCCAAAAGGTAACTTTTATAATCTACCTGATACAACTGCAAAGTCATTTTTGTCTGAAAATAAAATATTTTACTGAAATGAGTGCCAAAAGCCTATTGATTATTATTGACAACTTAGCATTACTTTTTATCAAACAGTCTCTGTAAGTTATTGTTCTTTTCTTTTTTGCCTAACAAGAAAAAATCACTTAAAAAATTATCCTTCACCAATTTTTTTTCTCAACAGAAAACTACTAATTCATTGCAATTTAAGGTGTAATAACTATTCTCGTTTATTGATAGCCACATAGTTAATTGTTTCTTGGGGGATAGAAATAAGGAATGAAAAGCAAATTAGGTTCGTTTTTTTCAACAAATAACTTATTTTTTTTAAAGATTGATCAGGGTGCGTAGCCATATCTCTTAACAAAAAATAAGCATGCACCTTTAAAGTACTTTTTAAGAACTTAAAAAACATATTTATGCACTATGTACAGTAACAAAATGCAAAATAATTTCCAAAGTCTCTACATGATCATGATAAAATAAATAGTTTCTGACAAAGAACTCTTTTCTTGATTATATTAGCCACCATAAAAAGATCGAGAGATATTTCGGTTCGAAAAATAAGGGTAGAAAATGAGGCCTGAAATGGAGAATATCTTGCAAAACCCAATTCAGTAGACACACATGTGGACTCCCAAGAATTTCATCAAACATTTAACATGATTGGCATTATGATACGTTATGAACCGAAAGCACATCGAAATAGATTGTGGTTGAATGAATTGTGAAAATGTTGAATAGAACAATGTGAAAACTACGCTTTTGCATAATAACGCAGTAAAAATCGTTACGGTAAAGAAAAAAAATCTAATTTTTGAGAAGGGAAAATCCAGCATCTTTTAAAAACACATAATGAAAAAAGCACCTTTAAGGGCTTTTAAAAAACGAAAATAAGCACGTTGCACTTTTTAAAAACTTTACGCACTATGTTGATTATATGAATTAAGTAACAATATAAGAGAAACAGTTCTTTAACTCTTCATCAAAATTAACCAACAAATATACTTCGATGCTATTATTTATTGTTATTTACAATGATCATTGTTATGTTGAAATATTTTTCTTCGCCCACCATGCGCACCATAAGGTAGCGTGCCATTATATGTTACTCTGAACACAACATGAAATGAAACTGGTTTAATATAATAGCATAGTTTTTTTTAAAAAAAAGCTATCCAGTTTTCTCACAGTAATTTTCATATTTTCTTGGTTGTCATCAGCAAAAAAGAGATAAAAGTATTATTTTTTTGTTTTTAAGGGTATTATAAAACCAGCAATATTTATTTTTTTCCTACTCTACCATTTTTACATTCTTGAGTTTGATTGTTTTCTAAATTAAGAGTTCAATTTTTTAAATTATTAGTATTATAGTGAAATGTTACGATATTATCTTTTTAAATAAACTTATTTGAATCAGTGTCTTAACTTACTAATTGGTGTAAATTACATTAATATGCTATTATAAATTACAATTAATGAGATCAGTCACATAATTTAGAGCTTAACAATCAGGTTCATGCCTAATGTGATGCATGCACAAATTGTATTATATATATATATCAATCAGCTTGGTAAGTGAAAACAGTAAATTGCAGAATTACAGAAACATTCATGAATTTTGTTATAACAATATAGCTTTAATTTCAAATATTTTTTTTTTTAAATAATTCCTAAACAAAATTATTTATGCTCAGTAATAAATCTTAATAGAATCCTAAGAGAAATAGAGATTTTTCATACTATTTGACAATCAAATTTAACTCAAAATAAATCATTTGAAAGTGTAAACAAACAGAATTCGTTATTGTACATATAATTTAAGTGAATAATTTCAACTTTCATAAAAAAAAAAACCTGTTTCATGCTAATAAACAATTATTGCAAAGAAATCATCGTTCCCCTTAGTATAAATAAATTCAAATCTTCAGTTTCTTAAAAAATACATATACACTTTAAACAAATACAGAACTTCTCTTTTATTTGAGATAGGTTTAGTATATTAATTGAAATTGATTTGATTGATAAGGCCATTAATTGAAATTAACACAGGCGTAGCCAGATTTTTCAACAAAAAATAAACACCTTTTAAGTACTTTAGCACTCAAAAAATTTTTTTCATCACTAAATAAAATAAATCATAATTAGGAGATGAGCAGTAATAAAAAAAATTTTTTCTATCATTTTAAGTTCTTCATTCATAAACATAAAATTAATAAAATACAAAAACTTTACATAATCATGATAAAATAACTAGTTTCTGATAATTAATGCAGAGAAAATTATGCATTTTTTGTCATTTAGAATGACAATCAATAGGGCAAAGAAAAAATATCTTTTTAAAAGATTGAAAACTAAGCACTTTTTACAAATCCCGAATAAAAAAGCACCTTTAAGCACTTTTTAAAAATGATACGCACCCTGTAACACTTTAAAGGTTAAAATATTAAATTTGAGAATGAGTTTTTCAAATAGTTCGAAAATGAACAGAAAATTTATCCTATTTTAATTATAATTAAATATTATTCATTTTTTCAAATGCTAGAACATTAGATACATTCCTTCAGAACAAATGCATTTATAATACAAGAAGAAATAAATACACATAAACTTACATATTTATTAGTTACTGGGTGTCGTCTCCTGACAATGATATGGAAAGGATTTGCCGTTTTCCATTCCTATAATATGTCTCAAACACATTAATAATCATATAAAATGACAAACAAATATAAAACAATGTTAAACAAAGGAAAAACTCACAAAATCAAGAGCCTTCATGGCTCTGTAAACTTCAGTCATAATATCAAACGGCTTACTCTGAGATCTGATGCCTAAAAATAATATATAACTTTGATTTCAGCAGAAGGAAAATATTATAAAAGCATGCAAAGATATTAACCAGTATCTACATTATTCTTTGCCTGCAAGACTATTTTCATATGGAAACAAGATAGAGTTTTTCATAATACTTTTTACAGTAATAATAAATACAAATTTAAATATCTAAACAATACTAAAAAAATACTTTTTAGAGAAAAAAAATATGTATTCTTTTTTTTTTTCAATAAATTTAAACGGTATAAAGATAAACACTCAGCAGACTTATCGAAGATAGATATATATATATATATAAATCAAGGAATGTAATTATCTAATAAATAAGAAAAAAAATCTGACATCATTGGACTTTTTGTAGTAAGAAATAAAATTTACAGAAATTATAAAAAATCCATTGCCATGGTTTAAAGAAATATAGGTCAAAAGATAAATGTTTTTCATAATACAAATAAAAAATAGATTAAAAACATAAATACAAAGAAAAGTTTAAAACAAAAAAACTAAATAAAGATCAGAATTTTTTCCCCGAGGTTTGAGGCTCGCAATTTGTTTTTTAGATTTTAAACTATTCTTTTGAACAGTTTCAAGAATTTTAAGTTTTTAATTCATTTTCTCCATTACTTTATCTCTTCAAATTTGGTTCTTGAATTTTTCACACTTAATCAAATATTAAATGCTTTTATATTTTAGGATTAATCAAACCAACACTAGCTTGGATGCTATAATAAACAATTCAATTTGCAATGAGTGAGTTTTTCTTCACATTCTTGTTGGCAAAATGCTCAAATTTGATAATAATTTTATGAATTTCTCTGACTGTTCCTGATGGAAAAAATTTCTAGATTTCCCCCTGATCCCGTTGCCAACCTGGAAAATTCCGAATAATGATAAAGCTTATCAATTTACCTAAATGCCATTTTGCCCGTTTCATTGGAGTTCCTTTACTTTTGTCAGTACTGTTACCACCGCTCATCATTCTCTGGCGCCCTGAAGGGGAAAAAAAATTTAAGCGAAGTTAGTACAAATAAAACTTTGCTTTTAATGCATTTAGGAAATTTTTTTCAAAAAAACAAATAAATTCAATGACAATTACAACTTACCACCAATTCGTTCTGGATGAGTCTTACCAGGGCTCTAAAATATAATAAATAAATAATAAGTTTTAAATTCTGTTACATCAGTAATAATTTGTTGACATAGATAATAACCAATCAGATCAATCGTAAAATAAATACATAAAGTATCTACGCACAGAATCCAAAAGTACCCGCAAGCTCATAATATTTTGGATAATAGAATAAATTTATTAAATATACGAAAACAGTTAACGATTTAAATTTTTTATTTATTCTTGACAAAACAATATCTACATATACATGCACATTAACATTAAGGACATTAGAGAAAGATTAATATTAATTAATAGTTATACATAAATAGGAAATTTAAGAACTGTATTCATATAAAGTAATTATCATATAAAATAATATTAGTAATTTCGCTTCAAATTAAATTGCATTAAAATATTTCTTACTGTAACCGTTTATTTTCATTGCAAAGCAATAGTCGAGTTCAGTCTTAAAAGAACTAGCTGATTGTAGTCTCGACCTCTAACTATAGGATCACTAATCTTTGGGTTAAAGTGGCAGTTATATCTTTGCCTTTTTGGGAGCAGCATGCGTACAACTGAACACTGACTTTCTTCTACCTTGCCTAAATCATGATTATGTCGTCTGCTTCGTATCCCCCCCCCCCACTGCAAACTTTTTCCTTTGCGTGCATGGATGCTTTTTTTTAAATATTAAAAATAGTATCTGCAAAATTGAAATCACCACAAATGTGTCCAGGCACGGTGTGCGTCTATATTATCTATCTATGAATCAGATATGAATATTATATATAATACAGAGTTATTTGTGATATCAGGGATAAACAAAAATACTACAGATCCAAATCCGGTTATAAGAAAGCTTATTATAAAATTACCAAGACTACAAAGCAGCTTAATAAGAAATAACAAATATTATAACCTGAAAGAAAATAAAGTTGTGGATTTAATTAGCATGATTTTGAGACAATTTATCTTAAAAACCATGGATCAGTTAAAAAGTTTTGATATTCACAAATTAACCTTATTTTCTCTTCTTTCTAAATATGATGTCAAAAAAAAAAAAAACATGAAAAATGTTTTTCTAGAATTTATAATATTTACATACCTGCCAACTTTTAATCTTTTCGATGATGATTTTCCCCACTGGTAGTAAAATGGAAATTAAATTACAATTTTAGGTTGACACATATGCTGTAATTTGAGAAAGCTTATACGAACTACCTCGACAGTATTATATATTACAATATGTTTAACTTTTCTCAAAAATAGTGGTGGTCAGAAAGATTATAAATTAAGTTTATAAATGCAAGGAATATATAGAAAGCATACATTTTGCTACCACTTTAAATATAGAAATAAAATTTTAAGCCAAATGCGTAAAAGTTGGCAAGAATGTATTAACTAAATTTATTTGTCTGTGAAGTTCAGGAATTAATGACCCATTATGAATTAAAACAGTACAACAATATTAAAGAAAAACACTAAAAATAGAAAAAGACATGTGTTCATTAAATTAAACAGAATGACACATAAAGGAAGAAAACTCACACTGATATCGGTTGTGGTGGGAGGTGGACTAGAAGCCCAGTAGAAACTATTTTTCTCATACTTGGATGTCTCATCTTCAATTCTCTTGTTGTCTAAAATCAAGTGATATGCGATTGCCAATTGGTCATGAGGGTCACCACTCAGAAGAGCACTGTGCACTTCACTCTCACGCACAGACAGTTTCTAAATATATCAAAAGACAACTTTTTTTAGATTATGATTTAAAACCAACATCAGGGGTCTGTCCAGACATTTTATAAAAGCTAAAATTGTAGGTACATTCTGTAAAATTGTGAAAAAACTACCCATAATCTGTGAATATAAAATAAGCGTTAAGTCACTTTCTTTCAAACAGGGTCCTGTTTTTGTGAATTTGTGCAAATAGGATCCTGTTATTGCAAAAACCCTTTTTAAGAAGTTTTTAAATTGTAAATAGATACAAGATTCCGCTCAACAATTGCTGCTACTGAATTAGAGATTTAACATACAAATAGTTGGTATTTAGCCTATACTGCTCAAAGCGGAACATTCATTTTGGACGAATAATGGAAACAAAATCACTCACATTTTTAATAATTTCAATTGACCTAGTTTAAATAACACAACTTAGTTATGTATCACTTTTAACGGACCCAAATTTTTTATAAACAGACCCCTGAACATAGAATCAAAATTTAACAAATAAATTGTTACTTGAAACATAAACAGTAGAATAAATAGAAAAAAAAGTCAGTATCAAATATGTTAACTCTTCAAACCATTCTTTTTCTGTCATGCCCATGAATAGGAGTCTAGTCTTAAAAAAAGTTTCCATTAAATAATTTAATGAGATCCTATGTAAAGCTGTAAAAACTTTATATAAACTTGACCGAAACACAGTATACCATAAAGTATACTTCTGATTATCCACCGTATTTGGAGGTGGGACAACCACAATATTCACAAATAATCAATGTTAAAACCTACATATCTTGCTTATAGTTGCAATTAAAAACTTACCAGTTTATATAATTTATTTTATATACACAAAAAGGAACTCCCAATAATTCTTTTCTTAAATTAGATTAAAAAAATTTAGACATTTTATATGGAATAGCAGCTCTGACCTGCAACAATCGTCCCAGTCTTTCCCTTTTGAGTACTGCTTTGTGGGAAAAATTTAAGTTTTTGATGAAAGTATTTTCCAAAGAATTTCTAAATGAGGGACATATTTTGACCCCTTCCTAAGCCCCCCTTATTTCCTTAGTTCTGAAAGTGACCAATGATAAAATATAAACTTTGGGTACGGTTTATTATTATTGTCATTTTTGCAGTAATAAAACTATTATTGCCATAATAAAATAAAAGTTGAGATATAATAATGAGTTGGAAAAAAATCACACAAATAATTTTTTGGTAGCAATAATGACCAAGAAAATGTGCAATAATGTATTTGTATTATGATGACAACATAACGAATTAGTACAACAGATTGATGACTATTCTTTACATTACTTATTAATAAATGGAAAAACCACACATCAGCTCTTATAAACTCACTTTCAGCCAAAAATGTGTAAACGCACCATTTCAATAAATATTTTTTTAACAAAGACTGTGATGTATATTTTTTTGCAATTGTCAAGTCAACGGTTCGGAAGACATCCATAAAATATTATTAATTCAATTGGAGTAAACATTTTCGGTTAAGTTGTTCTGTAAATAAAATATAAAAAAAAAAAACGAATTTAACAACAACAAAAAACCAGCGTTCAACCTAGGATTTAGCTATAGCGCAATTTTACCATTATAAGCAGACCTCATTCTAGGCAGGGTAAACAGGGCGCAGCACCCTGCTGCCCTTTTAGTCAAAAGAATCCACCCTGTTGCCCCTGAAGTAAATTAGTGCCCTGATGTAATAGACTCCATACCCTTTTTGCACTTTCTTTCCTCAACCCTTCTTTACTTTTTCCCCAAACTCTACAATGGATTCCTTAAACTTTTGTTATTTTCAACTCTTCATTTAGTTTGTCATTACTGTCAATACATAGATTTATATAGGAAAGGAAAAAATAGCCATCACACCCCCTTGTTGCACTTGTCTTTAAAAGTTCGCAGTTACTTCCACTATCATTAAATCATAATTATTATTAATCATTTTAATTATTAAATCATAACTACAGACACTTAAAAACATACATTTATTATTTTATTAATTATGCATGCATTTTAAATAAATTACTAAGCTAATTAGCTCATTAACTTGATATAAATATATGCTAATTTATTAATAAAAATTAGTAATTAATATGATAGCTTTGCTACTTTTAGTAAAGTAAAAAGGAATGTTCTTTTACTAATTGACAATGTATTTTAATAGAACGTGCAAAGCTCATAGAAAGAAATTATTGCCGTTTTAGAATAATAATGCCCTTTTTTAAACTTTTGCACCCTGCCCTTTTTCCTGCCTAGAATGAGCTCTGATTATACGGACCATTTTATTTCTTAAAAAAAAAATCATTTTTCAGGCACGACTTTTTGTGTCGAATCGAGTGTAATTTCAATGAAAATATTATCAAATTTTATAAAAATTTATATGTTAATCAGACATCCAATTCAACTCTTTATCTGTCAACCCCAAACTTAGTTTCGAGTAAAAACTGCTTGCTTTTCGGCACAAAAAACCAGTTTTCCTCAGATTATTCAACTGTACTTAACGCATAAATTTTTGTATATTATTGCCCAAGTAAGAAATCAGCTAAAAGGTTAAACAAAACCGCATTAATAAAAACTCCTGACTAAGGACAGAGCAGGGTTCAATACAAAACTTTTCATTCAGCTTCTTACTTATTTAAATCAAATATTAATAAAACCAGACTCATGTACCTCACAAACTTCCATTAGGGCACTCGTGTTGATTAGAGATGTGTCTTGATCATTGGCGGCAGGAAACAAGTATACAGGAAGATCTTTCTTGAACCAGTCATGCTCTCTAAAACATTATTAACAAACGTCATTATATGCATATTTTATTACATTTTTATAAGCTTTTGAAGTATTTACTTTTAAATAACATAGTTTAGTTAAATATGTTATTGCTTTTCTTCCCCATTAATTTGAAAATCATATTAAAAAAAAGATTTTATAATTACAAATGAATTTGCGAAAAAAATTATGATAAGGAAAAAGGGATAAAATACAAATTAATGAACAATAAAGAAAAAGTTTTACTTGATATCATTCATAGAAGCTCTTTTCATAGGATCGACTTGCAGCATGTATACTAATAGATTGACTACAGATTTGTTTAAATAATCAGGAATGGGAAATATTCCAGCTGAAATTATTGAATAGATAGATTAAAATTTGTTACAAAGTATTTTACATGTATTTTAAGAAAAATAATGTTTCAATCTAATATTAATCATTCAAAAACCTGCCAACCCTGGTTACATGTATACTAACTTTCAATAAGATCACTGTGTGGAGAGGGTAAATAAGGGTTTATTCATTAATCACAGGGAATTAAAAAATGCCCATAATGTAAGGTTTCACTGTAATTTTTATACTGATGAATACAGTAATTATTTATTTTTGAAATTTCAAATCCATACTTTATTGTAAAAATTTATTAAGTTAAACTACATAATAAAATTCATTAGATACTCATTATTTAAAAATAATTTGATTACAAAGATTTACTTCTATTAACTAAAAAAATTTCACATTTTGATTGTAAATATTTTACTCACCATTAAACACACATAGCTGCCAACATGGATAGGAAAAAAATGCAGCTGATTTTATGCAATTATATAAATTTCATGATAACTGTTGCGTAATATACTACATGTTTTACATATAGGGAATTTTATTGTCATCAAAATACAAAAACTTTATCACAGATAACTATAAATGGTCTGCAATATTTTTCCTTTATGATTGACATTAAATGATTTTTGAATGTATTTTTTTGCTATGTCAACTCATAATTTTAAATAGTAGCATAGACAAGTAATTCATTATTGATAGTTATAAGATTTTATAATTTAAAAAGGGAGTCCTGAATGAAAAAAATAAATTGAAACTTTCAGAACAAAGAAAAAAAAAGCCTTAAACTAATTACTGCAAGGCTATCTTCATTATATATTAGTATTACTTATTAAAATATTTAAGCAACCAAATTGAGTAACAATTCTATATTAATAGGGATTTTTTTTTTCTCTCAAAAATTTAATCAATTTTAGGGAAGTTTCTAAAATGTACAAAGACCAGATTTTTAATTATACCAGTAGAAACTGGCAAAATTCAGTAGTTTACTAGTAAATCCAGTAGAGTTGGCAGCTATGCACATGATTGACCAAAATCAATTATTCATTATATATTTATGCACAAGTTTATACAAACATAAATATATGTATATGAACTAAATATTGACTAAAAATACACATAAATAGAAATGACATCTTCAAAAAAATAAGAACTTTCATTAGATCGATTATCTGAAATTAATTTATCACACAAGCCAAAATATAAATCATTATTTCATTGGCATTAATCACCTATATTTTTAACATTTTCACAAGGTTTTTAGCATTTATAGGAATGAAGGTACAAGTAAAAATGTATTATAGATAACGTAGCATGAAAAAAGTATGTGAGAATCTAAAGAAAGTAAGCATAGAAAAGTAAATTAACTTACATTTTATTTTTCTGAACAGAGTAGGAACATGCTCATCATCAAAAGGCAACTACAAAAATAAAAATTGTAAGCTTTTATTACCACCAAAGAAAAACGAGTTAATATAATAAAAGTAAGTCACACAGACAAACTTACAGTTCCACAAAGTAAGGCATACAAAATAACACCACAGCTCCAAATATCCACCTCAGGCCCAGCATATAATCTGCAAATATGGTGTGTTGCGTATAGAATGTAACAAAAGATGAAAATTCACATAGTATAAAATTTCAGATTAGGAATTTTCACAAGAACTGAACGTAAAAAATCATATCACGAGGGTAATAACAAACTTGAAATAGTAATTAACCTTTAGCACTCCACAGACATCGAAAGTCACCACACTAAAATTTAAAAAATTATATATCTTGGTACTAATTAGTAACCACGTTATGTTAAAATTTTTTAGAAATAATATAAAAATATTGTATTAGGTAGTTTAAATGATTTAATGTTTACATTAGTTCAAAAAATATATATTAAAGTACTTGAAGTGGAAAAAGTTAAATATTATGTCAAATTTGTATGAATTTGGGTGCCATTTTTATTTCATTCAATATAGCTTTGTATAAAATCATATGCATGCTTTGCTTTTATTAAAATAATACTTTTTATTTATATCAACAAAACAATTTTTTTTTTTTAAGATTCAAAAATATATTAAATTAAATATTTCCAAGTCTGTAAAAACCTACATCAAATAAAAGAAATTGATTCACAAATTTCTAAAGTATTTGGGAAAAAATTTTTTTTTTACCTCAGAGTTACTATTAGTAATGAAAAAGAAAAGAAAAAAGTATGGTACTTTAGGAGTAAACAAATTTCTTTATGGTGATACATTTAAGATAAATCACACTTTGGTTCAAATTTTTTTTTAAATATATACATAAATATGCTACAATTATCTTTCAAAGTGAAATAATGATCATGCCTAAGGTTTTATATGAAGGGAAAAAAAGTCATTATCGAAAACTAGAATTTAAAAAAAAAAAAAAAAGGTTTAATATTTAGCTTTTTACAGATACTAGCACAAATATAGATGTTTATTTAAATCACAGAATTTTGTAAAACTTTTTAAAAATATCATATGGAGATACTTTTTTACAGTTTGTTTTTAAAGTACTTTGCTTATTTCAAATTGGGTGTATTAATTTTAGGAAAAGAAATACTAAATAAGTTACTTAGACAGCCTTTAAACAAGATATAGAGATATAATACAATCAAAGTACAACCAAATTTGATATTTTTAGACATTAGAATTATAGAAATATTTATAACTTTCTGTTCCACCAGAAATATGCTGTGATCATTATTAAATATCAAAAGTAAAAGTCATATTAAATATACCATAGATATAACAGTTTCATACTTAAAGTTTATTCATAATTTATTTTAAGTTTTAAAATTTATTTTAGTAAGTAAAATTTAATTCTTGAAATATTTTAAATACAGCCATCCCATGCATGAATTATACTGAGTATCATTCAATGGTCAATTAAATCATGTTGATGTAAAACTATAAATGTCTACATCAGAGAAAAACTTAATAATTAACACATGCTTTTTAGACATGCTATCCCCATACGAAGGTCAATAGTCTCTGTGTGGAATCCAGAGTTACATGCCACCATATTCTTATTTACTATAATAATAATTTTTATTCTATACTTTTACAAATGAGTTTCGGTTTAAAAAAAAAACTTTTATTCCAGTTCAGTTGATTTTATTTAATAACTAACTTCATTTATAAGCTCACATAATTTTTCAGAAAAATTTACATTTAAAATAGAAAGAAAAATGCATGATTTTTAAATATTTCAGTTTGAGGTTGGTTTAGTACTTGAAAAGTAATTTCTGTAATTGAAGGAAAGGATTCTTTAGGATATAAAACCTTAGAAATTCAAATAAAACATAGTGCATTTTTCATTAAAAAAAAAAAACATCTTTGGAAATTGTATGAAGTCAGAAACAAAATGTTTGAAAATATTATAACAAGACATTTAACAAACCGTTCGTGAATTTCATTTTAGAATTACAATGCAATATTCATGATTTCAACTGGAAGAACTTAAAATCAGTCTACTCAAATTCTTAACCACAGTGAACTAATCTTTTCCCCTCCAGATTTATATACAGCTTGAGAGAATTAAATTTTCTTACTTTCCTGATATAACTTCAGGAGCTGCATAATTTGGTGATCCGCAGCTAGTTCTAAGAAACTCACCATCCATCATCATATTGCTTAACCCTTTAAAAAAGAGAAGTAAAATATTATTAGCTCAGGTAAATCACCATGTGATGCTTTTTTTATTTTTTTTATAGTTTCTACAAGCATTTTTTCTGTACTTGATTTCATAAAACTAATTACCAAAGTCAGCTATTTTCACATTCAAATTCTGATCAAGCAAAAGATTTTCTGGTTTCAGATCTCTATGAACGACCATATGTCGATGGCAATAATCAACACCTGAAATTATTTGTTGAAAGAAGCGCCTGGCTTCAGCTTCTTTTAACTGGAACAAAATTAATTAATTAATGAGAGTATAACATACTTAAAAAATAAATAAATCTAAAATTTATGATAAGAGTTTCAAAATTATTGTATTCAGTTGAAAAAAAAAATTCAGAGTTAAAAGATTAAAGAAAATTTTTTAAAGTGTTCAGAAGAATGTTCTAGATGAAAACACATAATTTTTAGGTAGGCAATAAAATGTTTTATGATCTTTGCTACCATCTCTTATGTACCAATCGAAAAACAATACTAAAAATGACATCTTAGGAAAAAGTATAACTTATCACTATAATTGCAACATCAAACTCTTATTATATTTATGAACAGAGGCTAAACGAATTTTTTTATATAAGGAGGGAAAAATGTCAAAAAAAGAGTTCAATTGTAGAGTTTTCTTTCTCATATAGACTAAAAAAAGTTTTAAGAAGTGAAGAATGTTCAAGAATGTCTCTAATTAAAATTTCTTCACTAATATTGTAGACATAGCTACTTATACATATCTACAAATGCTTTTACAGGACGCGTAGCGAAATTATTCAACAAAAAATAAGCACTTTTCAAGCACTCAAAAAATATTTTTAAGCACTTTAAAAAATATCATAATTAGGCAGGGTTGGAAAGTTTTTGACAATTGACAGATTTATCCTGTTTTAGCCGTCATGTCAAAAAAAATAATAATAATAACTTTTGGCATTGTTTTTGACAATTGTCAAAAAGCATTAAATTTTGAATCATTGTAAAATGAATGCTTTCATACGCTACTGACTCACAATACGCCAAAATAGATTGGGATTGAATTAATTGTGAAAACCGTGAATAGAACAATATGAACTACGTCTTTTTCCATAATTCGATGCGAAAATCAACATAGTAAAGGAAAAATCTCACTTTGAAAAAAGGGACAATTAAGCACTTTTTAAAAACATCCAATAAAAAAAAGCACCTTTAGGGACTAAAAAACGAAAATAAGCACTTTTGAAAAATGCTACACACCCTGTTTTAGCAGTTAGGGGGGGGGGACAGTGACTTTACAATAATTCTGAAGTTAAATGTGTAAACTAAATGTGTTTCTATTTTAAAACAGTGAGACTAATTCACATCTAACAACAGTTACTTACTTTTCCATGCTTCACAATGTAATCAAACAGTTCTCCTCCTGACACATATTCCATAATCATGAAGATATCTGTAGGAGTGCTGATAACTTGATACCTGAAGAAAATAATTGACATTACACTTTTGAAATAGTATATGAAGGAATAATCATTACATTCATTTTAGGAATGCATGTTATATTATTATTTATTAGCATGTTATACATTTTTAAAAGAGCAACTCAATGAGTTAAAATTTTAGATTTTTGAGTTGGAATATTTTGTTATTAAATACTTAAACTCAATAAATAAAAGTTGAAGAATTAAAATAAACTTATTTTTATTTTTGGAATAATAAAATTTACTAATAAATAAAAAAAAGTTTGACAGCTGGTCAAATATTTTTAAAAATATTTTACAGGTGTTCAATTAATTTTTAGTCAATTATTAAATACTGCTACCACAGCTAGTTGTCAGCCATGAGGTTACAACCAAAAGCATGATGATGGCAATGTTGTTAGCATATGCACTGGTTACTTTAATTTCCCGTACTAGTTGATATCCAAGACTATACACAAGTTTTGCGAGTTAAAATTCTTCACAGGCTCTTTCCATAAAACACGAATGAAGGGGGGGGGAAAAAAACTCTTACAAAACAAGGAAATAGCCATGCTGGTTTTTAGACATAACATGCTAGATGATAATAGATGCATAATGAAATGTGGATTCAAATGTTATGGTAAAATCTTTTAAAAAGTGATTTTTGTTAAGAAGAAAAATTTTTGTTGTAATAAACAAAAACAAGAAAAATTAATAGTTTGTTAAAATTTATTCAATTGGAATTTTTTAAAGACTAATATACTATTATCTTCTAGTATGGGAGTAGAAAGGTTAACTCCCATACTAGTTCATATATCTTAGATGTACATTTTGATATTAAAAAATTTTTTTCTTCCTTATTTCTTTTTTTCTTTAAAAAAGAAAATTGATGAATTTAAAAATAAAATAAGAACTAGGTTTTGAATGTGAAAAAGAAAGAAAAAAAACCTTAGCTGTAACATTTATATTTGATATTAAGCTTTATTTTTTAAATAAAACAAGTAAGTTTCGGCATGAATTTTAGTGCAAACATTGAAAAAGCTTTAAAATTGTATTACACTTAATTAAATTTTTTGAAATTAATCACTGATTTAAAAATGAATATTCACTAATTTGTAAAAATTTGTCATAAATATTTTTAAGTTTACTAAATTTAGTCAAATTGAATAAATTTTAACAAAATAATAATTTAAAATTTTATGATTAGGTATATGCAAAAATACAATTACCAATAAAAATATTTATTAATAAATATCTTATAGTAATTATACTATGTAAACATTGCTTCCAGTATTCACACTTAAGAGCATTTAAGTTTGCTGCTTGTATTTATGAATATAATTTGTGATTTGTAATATTATACAATAATTTATAAATTGATTATATTTTAACAGATTCTTACATAATTATAAAATAAAGTTCTACTGTACTTCTTAATGCAAAATAATGAAAGATGTTACAGTTTTTCTAATTCCTTAAAAAGTTCATTATCTCTATTTTCTTTCAGATTTCTATTTATTTAAAAATTATTTATTTTCTGGCTTGGAAATAAAACTATTATTTAAACTAGAATGCTATTATAAACTGTTTAAAATATTAATTTAATACTAGATATTTCTTTATGTATTGATAAAGAGAATTATGTTAAGATCATAATGAACATAAAAAGTACCTATACTCTGTTTTAGTGACTTTGCTTTGTCATTATGGTTGTCATGTACTAGCATGTCTACCTCCATTCATCTAGTATTCATTTTTAATTTTATCTATAGTATTTCAGTTAAGGATATTTATATACATTTTATTCTAGCTTAGAAATATAATAATAAGCTCTTCTGTAAGCTCTTAAACAATCTGCTTATTTCCTATCTATGGTGGATGAATTTAGTCTATAGTGTATGCCTAATTATGTATAGGAGTTGGTGCATTGCAACTCACATACAAATAAATACACAAATAATTTAATCAATAACTAGATACCATATTTTAAATGACACAGTACCAAAAATGCAATAATGTATAATCAGGCAATTTCTTTCAAGAACTTGATAACAAGATAATTTATCATCTGCAGAGATAAGATGCATAAATGAATAAGAGCTTGATTATATCAAGCTCTTATTCATTTATTATCTAATTCAGCTCTTATTCAAAATTAAAGAAGTTAAAATTAAGTCAAAGACAATAATAAAATTAACCTTTAGTATTTAAATTACTTCCAATGAAATCAGCTTAAATTTTAAGCATGATATCGATTTATTGTAAACAAAATAAAGTGATAGTAAACATTTAGACTCGAAAATTTTTGCATTTAGTATAGTGACCATATTATGCATTGCAAAAGCAATTAATATGCTATTTATTAACAGTTGACATTGTTGATTTTATACATTATTAATAAAATTAAAAAATTATTTACACAACTTCATGTTTCCATTTCTGTTCTTATGAGCTTAAGGAGAAACAAAAGCGGTTATCAAGCACGAAATTACTAAACGAATTGTACGTTATTATTAAAATAAGAAACCTCATTTCTTCCAAAGACAATTTTTTTTAAAAAATTTTGATTCCTTTGCATACATACAATGTACATGAATCATAACTTAAATAACAATACTCACAACTTGATAATATGTGGGTGGCGGAAAAGTTTTAGATTCTGAATCTCTCGTCGTATTTTTCCAACAACGTCCAAATTTTTGATTTTCTGTCTGTTAAGTATTTTAACAGCGACCTTGTGTCCCGTAAGTTCATGTTTCGCAGCTATAAAAGGAAAAAAAAATAGGACAATTTAATAATGAAATAAATGTTTGCAGAAACAATATAAATAAATTTGACACACTGGAAACCATTATAAGTAATTAAAATTAATTCAACTTGTATTTTATAGATGACAGACATTGTTTACATTTAACAACGCACATGGCCCGACACCATATATAATGAAATTATACTATAAGAACAAGTGTTAGAAATTCAAAATACAATGAAACAAAGTACTTACTTTTAACTTTACCGAAAGTTCCAACACCAAGTGTTTCACCTAAAATATAATATCCAATTTTCATAAGCGGTTGACCCTGAGGATTTTGAGACTGTCCTTTCTCCGCCATTTTTATGTATTAGCTAATAGAAAGAAGAAAGCAAATTCAACATATACAGAATAGAACGAAAATGCTTTTTTTTTGTGCAATTCAACAGTAACTTATTAGTACATTAATAAAGATAACCTGAGAACCAGCAGTTATTTATGCCTTTGTTTACGCGTCTCAAAAATAAACATAAGCAGAAATTTGTTTCGGTTTTGTTACGAAATTTTTGTAAAATTTCGAAATCTCAAACATTTTTGATAAAAAACTATTTTTTAATTCTTTTCGAGAAAACTTCTTAGCGAAATATTACAAAGCTTTCCGAATCAATTAAAAAACAATAATACAAAACAAAAGTTAATTCAAGTTTTCACTGTAACTGCTTAATTGTAAGTTGTGTTTGTAAACAAATAGAAGTTTCATCGGTTACAATGCTTCGATCTGAATATCGTTTTTTAAAGTAATTTTCTGATGAAATATTGAGTTTGAATCTAAAAATATTGACATTTATTTGAATGTTAATTGTTTAGTTCTTATTTAAACCATTTTATATTTTTTTAAAATTTTTATTTTAATGGCTAAACGGCGGAAGAATGATCCAAGGGAAAGATTTTCTTATTTGAGAGAGCTGGTTACTGAATTTCAAGATACTTCTTCTGATGGTATAATTTACGCATTTATCTGCGCCTTTCTTAATCGTGTGTACTAATCGATCTCTAATAGTTTCTTTTAACCTTTTATATACGATATGAAAATTTCAGGATTTGACAAATACAATTTGGAAGAATAAGTGAAATTTTTTTGTCACTTTTCACAATTGTGTTTAAAATAACAAATTAAATAAGGGTTAAAGTGTAGAAGTGGGTGCCCATTGGATTAGGCACTTAACCTAAAAGCTTTCACTGTACGTGAAATTTTTCTATTTTTATTTTGATTTATTAGAAAAATCTCACTTTTAAGTCCTTTTCCTGTTTTCAGTGAGACTATAAAAATTTAATGAAATTACAAAGGTACCTTATAATGTAAATTTTTACCAATCGCTCGCGGTCGATGTCAGTTGGTAATTAAAAACTTTCTAATACAAAAGTGTTTTTTTTTTTTGTTGCTTTCTTGAATTCTAATCTTTATACCTCCATTTATAAAATTTTTGGCTTAAAGATTGATTGAGAGAGATTCGACTTGGCGATAACCTGATGCCTGAGCTTAAAAACAATATTACAGGACACACTATCAATATGTTTTAGAAATAAATTCCATATTGCTACCTGAACAGAAATATTTGCTAAATTTTGAAGACTTCCGGGCAGTTGTCTGCAAAAAGCTAAACAAAAAAAATATCTGTAAGAGACAAACTTGAAAAGTAGGTATATCTGATAAACATTTATGGTCAAAGCTCTGCATATTTTTTTAAAGTTTTTGAAAGTACAAAGTCTCTTTAGCGTTTTGGTGATTGTTGTTTGAGCAAACAGGTAGGGAGAGGGGAATTACATTTAACTTAATTGTGGAACAAATCATCTCACTATTTCAGGTGGTAGTTTAATGTGATCATCATCACATTTCAAACTATTCAATTCAATAAAAATTATATGAATATATTATAAAATAATGTTAAATGTGTCATTTATTAATAACAGACCCTTTGGTTGTTATATTTTGAACTACTTTTTTTATAGAGGACAATTCCTTTAAACCTATAAAGCCATCTGCAAAATTTCATAATTTTCTGATTACCAGTTTGTAGCTGTAGGTTGAAATTGTGGTAGGCAATATGGAAATATTTTGTAATGATTGTTGGGCCAAACATAACAGAAGGGGACCAACTTGAAAGGTACAACTCATAGCCATCCTCATGTTGACCTGACTTCTATACACATTTTTTAAAATTTTTGCAACTTTAAAATAGCATTTTTGTCTTATAGTTGAAGCAAATTGTTACTAATAAAGAAATAACCCAGTTTTTAAACCGGAATTTGATTTTTGTTGTTGATGTATGTACTAATGTACAGTAGTGTGCTAATTATCCAGACTGGTTGGGACTGAAATAACAAAAATTCCATATTGTTGGAAAACTTTAATAACAGCTATAAAACTTTTTTTTAACAGATACTAATGTTTTTTACTAATGATGCACAATACTAAAGAATCCAATTTCATCAGCATAATAGATGAACTCCTTGTTTTAATTTTCAAATTCTGAAATAATATCTCTGGATTTTAAGACTATGCCCAACAATTCATCAATTTTTGACCTTCTTTCTCACCCTCTCCCAGAGAATCTGAAGGGTTGGGGTTTTGGATGTCCTAAACTGGCTTTGGTTAGGACATGTGGGTTTGACTGTCCTAAACCAGGGGTCTGTCAAGGCCAAATTTACTACAGTTTAGCGGTACCTTCACAAATTCAACTTTAGGGAAAACGGTAGTTTCACAAAATACTTTTTCTTAAAATTTTATTTTTGTATCCCGTAAGAAACTATAAATCCATATTTTTGTGTTGGTTTTTTAATTTTCACAAAATAGGTACTTCTCAGAAAAACCTAGACAGACCCCTGTAAACTGTTTTAAAGTGTCCAAAACCTTGAACATTGGTAAAAGGTAAAAATTCAATGTGTTTAACCATTGTACACATAATAATTACATGTATTAAAAGATAGTTGATACTTTTTTATACAATTTGCTTTAACTTAGTAAAGGAAAATAATATAATAGGAAAAGATTTATAGCTTTTGAAGTTCCACAATTCAATGAACAACAAAAGTGAATGCCTTATCCTTTAAATAAGTATTTAATACTGATAAATTATGTTTTTGCATAAGGATATAAATAATGCAATATTAAAAATAACTATAAACTTTTTTAATAAAACAAAAACTTGCATTCATTCTGTTTCTTGTTCAAAAATTAACATTTTATTTTACACAATATTTTTTTAAAATTAGCGACATAATTTGAATTAAAGGTTTTGGATAGTTTAAGACTAACAGGTTTTTTACAGGACGGTTTAAAAAGTGGTAATTTTGTCCTAAACCTTGCCAACTATATCTGAAGATTACGGATTTGTGTAAAAGAAAATTTTTTCAGAAGGTGAAAAAAAAATCTGTTCTCCTTTATCAATCCTGTTAACTGGACAACAGCATTCTTACTGTAGCTAAATTTTGAAATAATATTTTTTCTTTCTAGATGCAAAGGAACAAGTTTTAGCCAACCTAGCAAATTTTGCTTATGATCCAGAAAACTATATTCATTTTAATGAATTGAATATTGTTGATTTGTTCTTAGGTAAAATATATTTATGCTATCCATTTGTTATTGCTGACTTATTTATTTCATCACACATTTATTTCATCTATGATTTATAAAAATCATAGTTATAATAATTTCAATAAATGTATATCGATATTAATGATAATCTTATTTAGAAATTGATATGAAAACTTAACATAACTATCATATTTTGGGAGATGTTACCACACAAAGCTTCCAACATAATATTTATTTACTAAAATAGTCTTTGATCAGTTTTGACGCTGCAAATCTAGAAATCCTATCACATTATGCTCATTTAAAATGTGGTACATATTACTTAAAACGGGTTAATTGGGATTTTTTTTAATGTAAATCATTAATGAAATTTTTTTTTTAGTAATTTAATAAAATTATATGTATCAACACTTAGATGTATAGTAATGTTTGCATTTAATCATCATGAAACAAATTTAATTTGAATTTTGTTTAAATGATATATTAGTTTCAATTTCCACCCGCCAGGTGGCCGAGTGGTTAGCACGCCTGACTGTGAAGCCAATGGCCGCTGGTTCGAATTCCGCTCTGGGCGTGGATGTTTCTCTCTCTTGTGTGTGATGAGTGAATGTAGCCCAACCGGTTTGTGGCGTGGGAAATGTTACTCGCCTCCGTGACTTTGGTTCACAGGTTTGGTTCACCCAGTGGTTCACAGGTGCCCACTGGGTAACGCAAAATGAGTAACAACTCTAGCATCTTCTAAGGCGAAACGAACAAATTTCAGTGCCTGCCATTCAAAAAAAAAAATNTGATGCAGTTGGACGCCCGGTGGCTGAGCGGTAGCGCTTCGCGCTGTCATGCCGCATGTCCCTGGCTCGATCCGGGCAAGGTTGACTCAACCTTTCCTCCCTTCAGTGGGTCGATAAATGAGTACCAAGCATGCTTGGGAACTAAACACTGGGGGCTCCGCGTTCGGCTGACCACCTGACCGGAACATCTGCTCCTGCATGCCAGAGCCGAAGGTCAAGAAAACTGAGATGGGCACAGTAGGCCTTGACCCTCTTGGGCTGTCGCGCCGCTGAGTTTAGTTTATACAAATCAACACAAAGATCTTGTTTGGAATGTGCTTCACATAAATTAGTAGCTGCAATTATTATAACTATGGATTCTTTATAAAAGTAGAAATTCTTTTATTAACTTCAAAATATGAATTTCTTTTTCTTCTATTTGTATCATGTTTCAGTTTCTTTTGATCAATATTTATCATTTTAAGTTTCAAGATAAATTTGAATTTACATTTCTCTTTCAGATCAACTTTGTTGTAATAATGACACCTTAGTTGAATTTGCAGTTGGTGGAATCTGTAATCTTGCTTTAGGTAAGAGAGGGGAAAAAAGAAAGAACATGTTATGTTTCTTGTTTGTTTTTTTCCCCAGGTGCATTCTTTTTTCTATTTTAGAAAATTTTTATGTATTAGATAATAGATATTAATAATAAACATATTTGAACAATGTTATGCTTGAAAGTGTATCTTTTACCTTCCTCAAATGAAGAAGTATAAAAAAATTGGTGATTTTTTTTTTTTTTTTTTTTGGCTTTAAGTAACATTAGTTTTTTTCAATGAATTGCTATTTTAAGAATGTGTATTAAAAAAACTTTGATAAACAATGCTGGGACACTTTTCATGTAGTCAAAGTAAACTTTCTAGACTTTTTTTTTAATGGCGGGCACTTGGGATGCACTGTCCCATTGGCCAGGAGTGCCAGAACTGCTACTTTCTTCTCGTTACCCAGTGGGCACCTGTGGCAAAGCAGCGTCGCTCACGTCACACAACCACAAACCCGTTTATAGGACGGGACACATTCACACAACGGAGAAAGGACATAGAACACAGAAAGAAACATCTATGCTCTGAGCGGGATTCGAACCCGCAACCATCGGCTCTGCAGTCAGGCACGCTAACCACTCGACCCTTTCTAGACTTAATATATGGCTGGTTTTCAGCATACAATAAACTCTACAATCAAATCTTATATAGTATGAGCAATCTATAACTGCCACATCAGAATAAATCTTGTAATTTGTTATGATAACCATCTGCATAAAATAAACTTCATATTTCAAATTAAGATTCATTATGTCTAAAATTTAGCATGGTTTTACATAAAAACATATTTATTTTGTAAGTTAATTTCTATTATTTAAAAAAAAAAGTGCGTACAACATTTAATAACTTGATTTCTCTCATCTAATATAACTATGATCATTATTATATAATAAAACATCATTATTTCTACAGACAAAAACTTCAAACAGCTCATACACAAAAGAGGTGGGGTATCTAAAGTAATAACATGTTTGTCTCATAAAAATGAAGAAACTGTGATGTCTGCAACTACTGCTCTGATGTATTTAGTCTGTCCAGAAAGCAAAGCAGGTAACTTATAATTTTTTTTTCTTTACCAGAATCCCTCTTACAATTTATAATTTTAAAAACAGAATTCAAAATTTCAAACTGTTAGCATAATGATTATGAAGAAACTAAATTTTTTAATGTTTTCAATTCAATAACAATATTGAAATAAATAATATAGTATAATCTAGTTTTTCTGAATATCTTTCCCCCTGTTTACTGACATTGATTCCTAATTTTCTTTTTTTTGGTACACTTAATTTTTCTCTCCCTCCTTTTTTGCAATTATGTGCTATTATAACTCACATTTTAAAGTACCCAACAACATTTTTACCATGTTAAAATTTACTGATTAGAAACAAAATGTGAAAAAAGAAAAAACCCAGAATAATGTTAATTGTACAACATTATTGGTTTTGTATGTTTTTATGAAATAGTCCATTTTATTTGAAGTTATACTACAAGAATCTTGAACAATAATAAAAAATAAATATTTAATACTTTAGTTGTCCACCTCAAAGGGAATAAGGGTTAAAAACTGGTTTTTCTTTATCATCAGTGTGAGAACAAGAAAATTTGTATACATATATTTTTCAAAGTGTTTGACAGTTTACAAAATAAATAAGTGTAGTTTATCTTTAAATATTTTTAGATACATAAATCTATGTATAGAATTGTGTTTAGGTTGAAAATTAAATGTAAATTTAAATCTACTGCATTTTTTTGAAGTTTAAATATTACTTATTAATTCACTTTTATTAACTAGGTGTTATTCTTTTAATTTACTTTCCTTGCTATTGAAAGAATAGTTTTTGGATTAACATTATATATTTGCTCTTATGATGGTGTTTTTCTTGCACGACTATTTACCGTATATTCCGGCGCATAACGCGCCCCGGCGTATTACGCGCACCCGTAATTCCTAATAGCTTTTTTTAAATTTTAAGGTATACTCTTCGTATAACGCGTACGAAAATTTGGATTGTACATGTGCAATATCTCGTCTAGTATCTATAGAAAACCAGAAAGCCTTTTAGTGTGGGACATGTTTAGGTCCCACCTTACAGATAATACAAAAAAATTGTTGAAAGAATGTAACACTGATATGACAGTTATTCCGGGCGGATTGACACCATTAGTTCAGCCATTGGACGGCTGCTTTTAAAGCCAATTTAAAGAAACAGTGGAACACTTGGATATTGGAGGGCGAGAAAACCTTTACGAAAGGAGGACATATGCGTCATGCAAGTTTGGAAACAGTGTGCGAATGGATATTAAAAACATGTGATGAAATTAAGCCTGAGATGGTTAGAAAATCATTCAAAAAATGCAGCATTTCAAATAATCTGGACGGATCAGAAGATGACTGTCTATTTATGGATGAAGGTAACACAGATGAAGACGAAACAGATTGTGCTGACGTGCCTGAAGAAATAACGGAATATAATGAACTATTTATGTAATAACGAAAATCAACAAAGTATATAGGTAAAGGTATGTTATTTCTTTAAAATAAAATTATTTTTCTATATTTAAATTTTTTTAATCTATAATTTTTCATATTCGGCGTATACCGCGCACCCGTAAATTCCAATGGTATTTTTTGTATTAAAAGTGCGCGTTATACGCCAGAATATACGGTATTTATTATTTTAGAAAATTGTACTAAAAATTCAACCTTAGTTCTTTCAAGCGACTTTCTATTTTTAAAACTTAAATACATGCTACTATTGTTTAGTATTTATTATTACTTAGTTCTACAATTTTGTAGATATTGTAACTGCTCCAGTGATAGACTTTATGCTAAGGTGTAAAGGCAGCTCAAATCCAAGGCTTGCAAATTTAGCCTCTGTGTTCCTCCAAGATTATTGTAAATATGAAGAAATACAAAATGCTAAAAATTTAGCATCCACTTATCAGGAGCAATCTTCTGTATTGTGACATAAAGGCTTAATTCAAGAGATCAAAGAGAACTCATTACAAGACAAGATAATTGTTTTTATTTACAATATATATATATATCCTTGTAAAAATTTCAGAGAATACATTTTTACAAAAGTTATGATTGACCTTTGTTTAGGAATGGTAATGAGATGATTGTTAACATGTGTGGTTGTTGGGCATTGCTGCTTTCAGTTCGGGTCTTGTATATAATGAATCTGTACAGTAACTTCTTCATTGGCATGCAATGAAACATTTTCAATAAAACACTTTGTTTTATCCATAATAGGGTCTTCTTCTTGTTATTGTTGCTGCAAATATTTAAACACAGTTAATGATGTATTGACAGTTAATCAGTTTTTTTGTAGAATTAATAATTTGATTAGTAACAATTTATATGTTTTTGAGACAAATCTGTTTGCTTGCAACCACCAACAATATTTTGCTTAAAAATTACAAAAACAGAATATAATTTATTAATTAAGTCACATTACCAGTCATATAACCATTATACTTATCATCCAACTGAGTAAAGGGCAAATATAAGAAAATTTCCTACAAATTTCTAGTTATTAAATGTTTAACTGTAACCACTTTTTCAAATATTGAAAATTTTCAGCAATACTTTTAAGAAAATAGATGAAAATGATTTAAGGTATTCCTTTTGAAGCATTTTTTAAACTATGGTAAATATTACAAGGTACGTTTAAGTTAGAGAAAAATTTTAAGAAGAAAGCTTAAAATAAAAATTTTAAAATATTATTAAAAATATTGATAAAATTCCATAGCTAATAAAAAATAAAATAAAATGCAAACAGGGTGAATTTTTAATGAAAAAAAGTGTCGATTGATCAACAATGTTTTAATTGCTATTTTTTATGTTTACTCGTTCTGCATCCGGTGGGACAGATTCACCCCATACAACTGTGTAAATCTTATTGCCAAACTACAAATATAGCTATATTCAATAAAAAATTTTAATACAAGAAATTATTAAACAAGGAGTATTTTGTACATATTATTTCAATAACTCTATGAAAATTGAACCTTGATGCAGAAAAATTCTAAGAAAAATAAGTTTTAATAGATTTACATAATTTAGACTTCATTAGCTAGTTAATGTTACCATAATTTTAAGATGTGTTTTTTTCAAGTTAATCGTTTGCAGAATTGTTCTAAAATTTGTCTGAAAAGTACTACTCTCTTTGGCTTTTCCAGGGTTCCTAGTATTTATAAGAGCTAATAAATTATGCAATTTTGATCCTGGATTGACATCATGATCATTCTATGCTGGTAGTAAAATGTAAGAAATTATGAAAATAAAAATTAATAGTTCTGAAATGAAGCTTGATTTGAGTTCAATGCAAGGATATACACAGGTTAATCAAATAAGGATGTACACATCTTGATCTGAGAAAAATGAAAAATTATTTAGACATAAACAGGTTGGAATTGTAAATTAAGGTTAAGAGAGTTCCAAAATATATACTTTTGAACAGTCTTGAAATATTATAGAAATAAATTTTAAACTACACACTAAAAATAGCGCATCTTCATTGAGAATCATTATTTAAAGTTAATACATCCTTCTTGTATTCAATATTAATTAATTAACATTTCCTAAACATATCATTTTTTTACCTGAAGGACTGTTAATAAAATTAACACTCTTAATGTAGAAATAATTTAAATTAAATAAAGGAAAGGTTGTGAAAAAATTATAATAATTACATAATTGGCATCTTGATCCTGAGAATCCCTCCAAGCATCGACATTTGTATGGTCCTATACATGTGCCTCCGTTCAGACAAGGTAATATGCACACAGCTGAAATTATTGAAATTAAAATATTTAGTTCAATCAAAATTAATTAAAAAAATGATTTTATAAGATACATAGGATGCTTTCTAATACTCATAGGATACTTTCTAAAATTGAAATTAGCAGGATGTGAAGTAGTGAATGATAATTTAAATCAGATAAAAACGTTAATGCAAGCATGATTGCCAAAAAGATTGACTACGAAAGTAACCTTGTTTGTGAGGTAAAATTGAAAAAATGTCACATTAATATTTTTAAGAAAGGCAAGGAATATGAAAGCTGAAAAAACATTAAAAAAGTAAAGGTAAATTTTAGTGTAATTATGACTGTTAAGATTTATTATGTTTTTGATAATAGGCTTCATAATTGAATAATCAACAGCTTCTACACTTATGAAAATGTACTAATTTTAAACGTTAATTAAACAAATACCGCATACAGGCAATACTCTGTTTATAAAATATGTAAATTTATTCACTTACCATGTTGACAAACATCTCCTACAAAACCTGCTGGACAGCTGCACAATCCAGGTGGCACACATCTTCCGCCATTCAAACAAGGTCTAGTACACATTCCTACATTACATATTAATACAAAGAAAAATATTAAAAAAAACAATGTGTAAAAAAAACAAACTTTTTCATGTTTAATATTTTTAGTACTTATTTTAAATTAAGCAAAAATTCCAGTCATTGAAACTTTATGTTGTTTAAAAACTGAGTGAAAAATATCATGCATTGATGATTTTAAAAAATAAAATAAAAATATTTTAATTTTATTGGATTATTATACTGCTTGTATGCTAATCATAAGATTGACTACGATCATAAGATTGATTTTACTTAGACTCTACTTAGATTTGAAAAACATACTTAAATTTTGTTACTACAAACAATCAATGGTTGAAGAAGTTGTAGCATTAACCTAAAAAATGACATTTAAAAAAAAAGTTCATAAATGTACACCAATCCATGAGGATTAAATTTTAAAATTGTACCATAGGCGTTTCATTGGAGCTGTAAATTGTTTGGAAAATACCAATAGAATTTAGAGACATATAGAAGGAAATCTGGCTGAAATTTTGATAATACAAAAAAAAAAAAAAAAAATGCATTAATTAATTTTTATTTGCACTAGGAAACTTATATTTTAAGGACATAAATACATAAATAGTTTCTACATGTGTCATTCATTAAAATGGAGTCATACAATTTGCATTCAAGTTATGAATTTGTCTGAAAATGGCCATTAAAAATTCAGTTTTTTTCATGAAACTGTGTCTTAAATTTTAATATTATTTTAGATACTTTAGATTGTTTTAAAATATGTAAAACACTCTGCATTTGAGCTAAAACTTTTCATACAAATAAAAGTTTTTTCTTTTACATTTTGATTCTTTTTTTATAAATAGATGTATTCATTTATGTAAAATTAATTTCTAAAACTTATTCTTAAATACCCGTAATTTAGATACAAAAATATTTTCTAGGCATGTCAGTTTTTAAAAAAATGCCATACATTTTTAATAAGAACTGTAAACTTTTTCAAGTTATTATCATTTCCCTGCTTAATTTAATAATGAGCAAAAATTTTACAAAATGTTAGATGCATGAATTTTTACACTATAAAGAAGTAATTTTAAGTCACAACATTTAAACGAAATCAATTGAATACTTTCTGTGCCACAAAACTTTAAAAGATGTCATAATTTCATATAATATATGTCATAAATGTAATGTCACATAATATGTCATTTAATGTAATGTCACATAATATGTCATAAATGTCATTTAAATTTGTATTTTTTGAGAACTATTTAATCATTTTTTGAGCATAAAAGTTTAAGAGCATGCAAAAATGTGCATACTTTGTAACTGATTTTTTTCAATTATTATTAAATTAATTTTTTTTTGCATGGAATTATCTTATATGAGTTTTGAAAATGACAAAATTATATGAATATAATTTAAAGTGCAAAAAAGTAAAAATCAGATATAGAGAATTATGCTTTTGACTGCTCTCCTAGTTAAATTATTGGGATTATATTTTATAAATTGTGGTAATCCTTATATTTCAAAAGAGAAAAAGTCAAATCCATTGAAAAAAATCATTTTGCATCTTACAATATTATCTGCTCTAAATATTTAAGATCTACCTTTTCAAAAATTAAGATTACACCTCAATATGAAGAAAATATGATCTGTAGACTAAAAATACATGCATTGAAATAAAGATTAAAAAAAAACATTTCTAAAATGACTCAATCACCTTCACAAGTGGCATTTCCATCCCATATGCCACTTCCCATGCATGTTAGTATCTTCTTCCCCTTCACTTTACTTCCGGGAGGACATATAACTGCCAGTTTATCACGATATTGATATGACATACCAAGTATAATGGCACCTGTATTGGTGATTGGACGACCACAAGACATTCCTATGAAAAAAATAAAGTGATTAGCAAAAAGTTGAAAGAAACTTGCTTTCTAGTTGGAGGTAGTCTATATTTTTTAAGACATAAAAATAAAATAAAAAACAGTGCACATTAGGGATTGCAAATTAATACTTATATGATTAAACAAAAACCAAAAATTGACTAATCACTATTAAGATCATTAAAGCAATGGTTATGATTTAGCCCGAAACTATTTTGTCCAGGTTACTGAAGAAAAAAAACAAGATGAAATAGAATTAAAACTGACCAATATAATTGTTTAACAATAAGTATTATATAAATAGTTTCAATTTAAACAAATTAAATTAAATAAAACACTAGTAATTTTAAAAAATTTAAAATCAATTTTTTTTTCTAAAAAATAAATATTTTAATAATTGTTGCTGTTGTTTCTACTCAGTAATGATTGGTCAGAGTTTTGAAAAATTTCAGAGTTTTTAATATTAATGTGCATTGTTTTTTGACTTTTCATTTTTTATTAAATTTTATTACAGACCACCTTGTCCATATAACCATTTACTCTAAACATTGGTATTATTTTTATTCAGCAACTCGTCCTTAGAGGTTAGTTCATAATAAAACGAAATACAGTTAATGGTATTATTTAATGCTTCTTTCTCTTAATTTTATAATCACAAGTTTTTTTAAAAATATATGCTAAAATCATTTTTAAAATTTGTCACAATTTTAATTTGTTTACTACTAACTACTAATTTGTTTACTAATAACTAAAAATATAAACTATTTTTAAAAGAATTTTGGTCTATCTTATTTAATTAATAAATATTCATTGAGATTTTTAAATTAACTGAGACAATTTCTGAGTTTTCCAATTTTTAATAATATGTTTCATTTTTGTATAAAATATGATATACTGTGAAATTTTCATTATGTATTGATATTAAACTTTATTTTGTAAGTAGAGGAATTTTTGAAAATTAATTTGAATATACTACTCTGAGAAAAAGTGAATTTAGTATTTGCATAACAAATGGTTCATACATTAAGTCACATGAACTCTTATGCACAAAGAAAAGCAAATGCTAACACCATAATTACGATGCTAATCATAATAAGTAAACAGTTTCTTTTCTATAAAGTATATGTGTTTGCAGACAATATTGAATGCAAAAACAAGCTTACTTTTGCATCCACCTTTAGGCACAGACCATGAACTGTTAGCCAAACAATGGGAAGTAAGATCCCCAAAGCCTCTAAATCCAGGTTCGCAAGTGTATACTAGTTTATCACCAATTGCAAATTTGCTTTCTGTAAAAGTGATAGGTATGACATTTGGAGGAAATTCTTTAACAGGGCCACAGGTCACAGCTGTTAAGAGAGAGGAAAAACTTAAAATGAACTCAAATGAATAATAATAAAACTCGACTCAAATCCTTTGCTTCATATTCTAATCTACTTTATGAATCTTATTTTATTATGTAAATTAGATATTAGTTATGGAACATAAATTCTAATTTTTTGAAGTTATTTATTTGATTTTTGGAAGTTATTTATTTGAGGGACACAATACAAAACAAAAATGCTATTTTATTAATTAGATATATTTAAAAACCAAAATAGTAAGTTCATGCTAAGGAATTTTTAAAAAAATAGTAAAAAAATAAACAAACTTGGAAATTTTATAATACACATAGTTTTGTAAATGGATCAGATGTAAGCATTGATTAAATAAATGTAGAATTTAAAGGCAAAAGAGTAGTAAACAGTAATATTGTTACACCTTAAACTCACAGCACAGCCCCCAATGAAAGCCGAGCACCTAGTCACTTTTTTCAGGGCTTTGCCTTTTCTTTATTTTTAACTAGGATTAGGTAAAAGCTTAATCTAGTTAAAAGATAAAGAACTCGAATTTAAACTTAAAAGATTTTTATACAAAACTAACAACTTTGATGTAAAATTAAAAGAAACCTTCAGAACGTAGTAAATATAGTTAAATTCTATGAAAAAATAAATATGGTAAAATAGGTTACCATAAAACAAATTTTTTTAACGAAATATATATTGAATACCTTCTATTTGCATTTCCAATGTAGAAAGATGCTTTTTTTTCAAGTGCCAATGAAATGTAAAAAAAGAAACAAGTAAGGAATAAAATGAGTTTACAAGTTAAACAATTTTTTTTAAATAATTACTTTGAAGATTCAAGTCAATTAAGAAATTTCATTTTTTTTTATTGAAGTTCAGTGTCAGATTTTTTTTCTTATCTAATGATTCTTAATGTTTCAATCTTTATCAATGATGTATTTTTCTATAATGTTTCAATCTTTATCAATAATGTATTTTTTTATAATGTTTCAATCTTTATCAATAATGTATTTTTCTATAATGTTTCAATGTTGTTATTTTTCTATAATGTTTATTTAAAAGTAGGTAATTATTTTTTGCAAAAATAATTTAAAAAATCTATATTCTTAGTGTAAAAAGATTTAGGCTGATTGTAAAAATATTTTTGTTCTTGAATGAAACACATTATTCTAAGATCTAAATTTTTAAGTATTATGAAAAATTTAAGAGAATGAACTAACAATATTAAAACAAGCAAACAAAAATATCTAATGGAAGATAAGTACAAATTATCACCGCATTAAATAAAATAAATATGAGGACCTACTTTCATTTTGTAAAAGTTTATTCTAATTATTAGTTTATACATAATATTTTTATTAAAAATCAATGCAGTTATTTTATAATGTTTAATTTAATATAACACAATATAATATATTGCAATGCTCCCCAACCTTTTTATCACCGCAGCCCTGTCAACGTTTGATAATTTTACAGCGGGCTGCTGGGGGGGGGGGGGGGGGTTGATTGTTTATATTTTAGATTATTTTGATTTATTAATTTTAATTTAATTGTATTTAAACATGCCTTCAAAATAAAATACAGTTACACCAAAAAATAAATATAAAGTGATTTAACATAACTTACTAGAACGTTAAATCAATGAAAAACCTGAGCTTGTTTCTTTGCAATAAGACGGTTTCATCTCGGGGTAATCGGAGACAATGATACATTACAAACACTAAAAACTTTATGTCACTACTTTCGGCGGCCCCTTTTTTTAAATAAATAAAATTTTAAAGGAACACAGATATTTTTGATTTGGGGTATAAACCTAGGAATTTAAATTCAGTTTCAATGAAATGGGTGGCCCGGTACCATTTGATCCACGGACCGGGGTTGGGGAGTATTAAATACGGTGATATGATCTCTCAGATCTCGGGGTTTCAATCATTACAAACGCCTTTTAACATAAAATATATTTAATAACAAGAAGGATGATGATGATGGTACAGTGTTATGGANGGGTTGGGGGGCACTGATATACTATACCAGAGAGAGAAAAAAGTTATTATATATTATAAATAGCTTTGGATTATTAAGATACCTGAACATTTAGGAGTGTTTTTATCCCATTTTCCAGTATCTAAACAATGTGCTGTGTCACTGCCAATCATTTCATAGCCTTTATGACAAGCAAACTGAATTCGATCTCCATAGTGGCCGGGTACACCCTGGATTACATAACCATTATCAGGTGGGTCAAGTTGACCACAAGAAATTCCTATGCAGATAAAAAGAATAAATTAGTGAATATAAATCAATCAAATATAAATTATAATTGATTGAGTTTTTGTGTTCATTAAAATTTTGAATCCCAGTATATACTATGTTCAATATACACTATTTGAACGGGCTTAAATGGGATTATAATAAATAGGGATGCACCAAAAAGTGATTTTAATTGGACACAAAATAAGGAATTTGAACAATCAACATCCTATTGAATATTCAGAGGCTATTTAATTCCAATGACAATTTATGCAAAAAATTTACTGAAAATTTTTCAAGGATATTTAAGTAAATAAAGGTGGAGTAATATTGAGCATTGAGATGAAATACTTAAAACAAAGACATGAATTTTTCCAATCTGCTAAATAAATGCCAAGGAATATAAACCAAATTTTTGAATATGGTAATTTTTTTATTTACTTTTAATGCTTGGACCAATTTTCCGCATATTCAAGTACACAGACATTTTCAAATAACTGTATTAAATATATCATAAATTTTTTTAAACCAATGTGAGAAAAAAAAAATCAGATAACTTTTATCTTTATCAAGTGTAAAATATAATTTAATTTTGTAAATAAAAAAATAACGATGTCATACTTTTTTAAATTTTGTTTTCCTTATTTTATTAATTAATGGTCATAATTATACTTTGCTTAGATTTGTCTGGTGCTTCAAAGAAAAATTATATAGAGATATTATAAAACGTTGATTTTTTAAAACTTATAACAAAAATTGCTTTAAGCATAAAGTAGATTTCTGTTTAAATAATTAGAAACTTAAAAGTAGTATAAATACCACTATAATGTATCTCAGAAACTTCAACGAAAACACTGGGATATAAAAGACCACATATGTCATAACCACTGATTAGCTTTTTAAGTTTATATGTTACTTCGTTTTTGTTGCTTTATTTAATCTCGTTGTTTTTAGCACATTAGTAGAAGCTAATACGACTATTGATTTGGTTCAAGCTTTTTTATAAGGGAGAATTTTTAATGAGTTTTTCTTCAAAGAACCTTCTTCTAATTCTAAAACTTTTCAAGGCTGTGACATAGTACCTTCCTTGACTGAGACTTGAGAAATTTAAAGATTTAATTAAATAAATTAATGTTGCTTAGTTAAATAAAACTAAAGTAAGTCTTCCTTGTGATAGCTAATTTCTTTTTCAAAAATGTTACTTAGAACTTAGTTCCTACAAAATTTTCATTCATAGCAACAGATTGCACAAGATATGAGCTATCAATGAATATGAAAAGAATACATCCAGTTTCGTGTTGGTAAAATGTGTTAATCTTTCTTAATAATCAGATCAATAAGTGTCCTTTCTGTCTTTGCTCCTAAACAACCTCCAAAACTACTACACCACTATAGCATACCCATCACCTTTAAAAGAATGTTAGTTCCCTCAAAGATGATAGTAGAAATCATTTGTTCTACCTGATTAAGAGAAAGAATATGACACTCACGTGAACAGAAGCTATAGTTTAAATTAAAGTTAGACTAAAATACTTAAGCAAAATATATAAAATTTAAAAAAAAAATTTAACTTTACAAGAAAACCTTTTAACTTTATTTAAACTGAAAGTAAGGGGAGTTTGACTAAATTAATGATATTTAAACAAAAAATCTTTTTTAATTACTTCGACAGAGGGGTAACTCTCCCGACCAAGTACCATCTTCCAAACAAAATCGTTCATCCCTTCCATAAATTTCATATCCTTTTTGACAACTGTAAAGTACAGCACTCTTAAAGGAATAGTCATTGCCAATCACTTCACCGTGCTCTGGCTCTTCCGGTGAGGGGCAAGTAATGGGGACACAGTGAGGAGGTTTGCCTTCCCAGACACCTTGCCACGAGCATTCCACCGTGGTACTTCCCACAATACGATAGCCTGGGAAACAGTGAAACGTGCCTCGACTTCCAACAGTAAAATTTGATGGAACAACAATTTTTCCAAAAGCTATCGATGGAGGCTCTCCACATAAAATCAATTCACAATAGATGCTGAAAAAAAATCAAGCAATAAAATATAAATCTTTAAAATATTACATACAAAGAAAAACAATAAAAATTGAAATATTGATTTGTGTATACGGGGTAGAGCAAATGAATGGGGTCCATTTATTAATTGGCTTTATAAATCTTCTGTCGGGCCTTTTTTATTTTGGCCACCCTGCTTACTAGTTTCTAGTAAAACACTAAATAATTACAGATAAGATATTTGACAACTGATTTTAAAAAAAATTTCCTTTACATCAGCTTAATAAATATATTTAATTGGAACATATTGACAAAAAACATACTGCACAATTAATATACTTATGAAGAATTTTTTTAGAATACGAAATGGTGTCTTCCCCCCCTCCAAGTATTCATATTAGATTCGTTCCTTAACAGAAATAGAAATTAATAATGATGATCAAATAGCATTTAACAAGAACATTATGTATGCCAAATGTAATAAAATGAACGAGAAAATAACTAGAAAAACTATTGCTGGAGAATTTCTTATTTTATATTTTTAAAAAAATTAAAAACGTTTGCAAAATTTCTTAAAACATTCAGAAAAAAATCATAGTATCATAGCATTCTTATAAATGTATTTACAAAAGTATTGTTGATGGCTTGTTGATAATTTAATTTGAATTTTAAAGTAACAAACATTAATTAAAAGGAATAATTTGGTATTAAATGTCAAAAGCTTTCAAGTTCACTATTTAGAAGTTATGAGAACTCGGTGAAAAATGTTTTTATTTTAATGTAAAATAGATCTTACAGGTTAATTCAATAAGTTTTAAAATTATTAAGCATTTATTTCATCATGTAACAATTTTTTTTTCAGTGAAAAATGCTGTCAAAGATCATACAAAAAAGACTTTCTAGAGTACATTTTTTGTCCATATTCTTTAAATTTTTTAAAGATTTTGCAGCTTCAGGTAATGCATAATTAAAAAAAATTACTGAAATAAATTTTATATAATAAATCTTTTAAAATAATTTAAAAAAATTCTTAGTCTTTTTTTATTTTTATATAAAAAAATAAAATACTAACTACCATAATTATTTAAAATTTTGTGGTGTTTAAATGAAACCAAATGAGGCAGAAATTGAGATTGAATTAAATTTTTTAACAAATACAGAGCTTATTTTTTTCATACTAATTTATTATCCAAAAGAAAGAATCACAAAACATCACCTAAAATAAAAAAGAAATTTTTTTATCAGTCTTTTTAATATTTTATACAGATAACCCTTAGTCTACAGAAAGAAGTTTAAAATCATTATAACAAGTGTTAATAATACAAAATTAAAACTAAAAAACTGGTGTGCTATCAATCTGACAATGTTTTTTAAGTCTAAATATCTTAAAATTACTAAATTTTTCTAATATTATTCTAACTCTTACTAATGGTTTTAACTCTCCTAGAGCATCTACTTTGGAGAAAACTGTACAAAAAATACTCATCTCAAAGCTATTTTCTTACTGAAAAACTAGTTTTTTTTGTTGGGAACAAGCCACCACTTTAAAGTTGGTTAAAAGCTAGGAATAATGCTCTAAAACAACACCCAATACCATTTTTTAATTTTAAAGTCTAATCTCTTCAACACATTATAATAAGAACAGTAGATCAAAGGCAATAAATGTAGTCATTAAAATTATTAAAAAAATTTTTTTTTGTGAAAAACTCTATTAATGCATACTTTTTAATGTCCCAGGCATCATTTCCAATGCACGTATGCTGTTTTAGTCCTATTAGTTTATATCCTTTCTTGCAAGAATAAGTTGCTTCACTTAATCCTGGTGTGTTGTGTACAACAAAACTTCCATGTTCTATGTAAGGGGGAGGAACACAATTCACTACTTCACATGTTGGTGGATCACTCCAAGAACCATCTTCTTTACATGTTACACCTGAAATTTAAGAGAAAAATAAATATATTTAGGAAAACTAAACATAAAATAATGTCATTAAAAAAAAAGAGCACTCTAATTTTTGAAAGCAAAGTTGCAATAACCAACTCTGCAAATTTTTTTAGCTAATTAGGATAATTCACTAGCTTTTCTAGTCTGCCATTTTAACAAAATATTTTTACTGCAGAAATAAATTACTCTTTATAGTGCTCAGGGGACAGTCTAGATTTTTTTGAGAGGTGCCTATTTTGTGAAAATTTAGACATAATTTGTGAAAATTAAAAATTATATTAAAGAATTAACATAGAAATATAGTAAGAAAATATGTTCAAAAATTGTCCCTACATATAAAAATCATTTATGACTGATAAGATTCTATACACTTTTTCCAATATATTCAAAAATACTTTTGCTATTGTAAAAGTTTCAGCTTAAAATTTTATACAAATTTAAAAATTGATAAAAACCTTTGTCCATAGTTACATTTCAACTTGAATTTAATAAAAACACGAATTTAATAAAACTTGAATTAATCAACTTGATCAATCAACTTGACTTTAATCAACTTGAATTTAATAAAAACAGTACTAAACTTTTATTGCTAAACAGCACTAAAGGTTATTTCCATTATGAGAACATTTTCGACTAGGTCATACAAAAACAAAATTTTAAGAGGCGGAGAGGAGAATCTTAGAACTTGCTTTATTAAAAGTATTTCGTGAAATGACTGTTTTTCCTAATGTTGGATTTGTAAAACTACCGTTTTCCTAAAGTTGAATTTGTGACGGTACCGTTAAACAGTAGTAAATTTGCACTGGACAGACTCCTGGTGCTTTATACTTTTTCCATTAATTCAGGTAGCAAAATTTTTTAGTATTAGTATTTTATTTACGCTACACTAGAGCTACACAATGGGCTAGCGGTAATGGTCTGGGAATTATCTTTGACGATGATCTGAAGACATATCATCACAATTTTTGATTCACTGTGGAGAGGATGACTCCCCAACTTTGGTAGCCTGATGACCTGCGTGTGAATTTGAGCAATTTATGGGAGAACAGTTTAAAAGGACCAAAACCACACACCCTTGGTCTCTTCATAGACTGATCAAACTAATCACCCACCCATTCACTGACTGCAGCCAGCATGACTTCAAAGACTTACTAAGAAAGTTCAGTGTGGAATGTGCAGATTTTGCATGAATTTAAATAGCACAATCATTAGGAGGAAATGTTAAACTAATTTCAACAAATAAAATTTTCTTAAGCCATTGACAAAAAATTTTTTTCATAAAAATAAGACAGTGTTTAGTACACACTTTCAAAAATGCCCCTTCAATACCTAAATAAAAAAATTTTATTCAAAATTATAGATAATGTAAAACATTTTGGGGGTAAAAATAAGACTTTGTAACTTAAAACTACAATACATTTTTAGATCATTGTTATTTATATAAATTTTATTACAAAATATCACTAAAATATTTTTAATACAGATTTTAATAAATCAACCAGGTTTTTTCTTAGTCAGGCAAATATAGAAAGTCACTAAAAGATTTCCTAAAATTAATTTCCATGTAAAAAAATTTAAATTTTATTAAAATCGAAATTTATATGATCTAAGTCAAAAAGACTATCCATTGATAATGTAGGATCTTGTAATTCCTTTTTCGATTATTTTATACCCTTCCAAAAGTGACTGAATGTGATCTCTACCTACAGGTATTATATAATTTTAAAAGAAAAAAAATATATTTTGCAAAAATTGGATGAAAAAGTTATGCTTAGATTTAATGGAAATTTCCTTCCACCAAAAAACAAGATTGAAGAAAATCTTTTAAAATCTGTAACTTTCGAATTCAATTGCGTAATTTATGAACAAGGTCATCTACAAGGTGAATATTTTTAAAATGTAACTACTTACTTACAGCTCCTTTCAACTGATATCCAAAATTGCACTTGTACGAGGCTTTACCACCAAAGATCCACCCTCCATCTGTCACAAACTGTGAATTACTAACATTTGGGGGCATTCCACAATCAACAGGTGCACAGGTAGGTTTACCTCCAATCCATTGTCCATTGCTATCACAAATTAAGGTTTTTTCTCCTTCCATGTAATAACCTTTATCACAAGTATAATTTAAAACTTGTCCAACTGTATAAGGACCGGTGAAAGATTTTGCATTGGATATTGCAATAGGTGGATCACATACATGTCTTTTGCATTTCGGGATGGGATTTGACCAATTTTTATTAGAAGAACAGACAGCTGAGTCAGGGCCATCTAGCTTGAATTTTGAATTGCACTTAAATTCCAATTTAGAATCGTAATGAAAATTTGAACCAATAACTTTGCCAGATTTTATGCTTTTAACTGCTGGGCAAGATATTAATTTGCAGAGTGGTGGTTCCACATCCCATGTCTGGTTTGTTAAGCATGTACTATTTGGTGAACCGTGCATCTCGTAACCTTCACTACAGCCAAAATGAACAGTGCTACTAACCACCAGTGCTCTAAAAAGAACAGTACCATGAGCTGGAGGAGTTGGTCTGGGACAGGGTAATGGGACACATTTTGGTGCAACATCACTCCACATTTTATCAGCTAAGCATGTGAGTTCAAAACTTCCTTCAATTTTGTAACCAAAGTCACACAAGTAAGTGACTTTTGATCCAAAAGTAAACTTAGATTCTTCATATTTTCCATGTTCTATATGAGAAGGGGGAGGACAAGATATGATTTTGCATGTTGGGATAACTAAGCTCCAACTCTCATTAATTAAACAAGATCGAGTCATGGTACCTTCCAGCTCATAACCCTTATTGCAATGGTAGGTTGCAGTACTTCCAACAACAATACCTTCAGTTTCTACCCATCCATTTTCCGGTGCTGGTATGCGACCACATTCCCTAATGATGCATTGAGGTTCTTCCTTGCTCCACCTACCAGATAATTCACATAGCCTGACAGGTTCACCTATTAACTTATAACCAGGTAAGCATTCATAAGTTGCTGTAGCACCATATCGCAAAGAACTCCACTTCACATGCCCATGAGGAATATTTTGCAACATGGCACACACTACTGGTTGGCAACTTGGTGGACCATAAGACCATGTGGCATTTGCTTGACATTTTCTGATAGAAGCACCTTGTAATCTATATCCAATTTCGCATTTGTAATTAATTTCAGCTCTAAAGGATATAGAAGTGAAGGCCATTTCTCCCATCATGATGTTTTCTGGTGCTCTGCACGAGACTGCCTTGCACATAGGCACTTCATTAGACCAAGTACCGTTCTCTAAACAAATTCTTGTGTCCCCTCCATGCAATTTGTAACCTTTTGAACAACGATACATGACCTCATCCCCAAGATGAAAAATATTTGACCTTGCTGCTTCTAACATGGTTTGACCACTGATTGTTATATCTCCCCTTTCTCCTTCTTCGTCAGGCCAAACGTGTATTTCTCTCCCTGAAACACCCTGTGAAAAGCTATGTACTACAACTTCCCCATTACGCAATGCATCTGGAAGAGGACACGATATTTGCTCACAAACTGGGGGATCTGAAGACCACTTCTGATTTTCTTTACATGTTAACGTCTGTGCCCCATGAAGCTCATAGCCTTTTTTACAAGTGTATGTAACAGTCTTTCCATATTCAAATATTGAACCTTCATATTTGCCATTTGTTATGTTTCCAGGTACATCACAAATCACTGGCTTGCATGTCGGAGGGCTAGCACTCCAGGTATTGTCATTTTGACATTTATGTTCAGTTGTTCCAATTAGTACATAACCTTTATTGCACTTGTATGTGATTTTAGCTCCATTACTGAAATTGGTAGATGAAATGAAACCATTTTCAATATGTACAGGATCTGGGCAGAGAATACCTTCACATGTAGGATAAGGGAAAGACCACTTTCCTGCTGCCTCACATTTTAAGGTTTTTTCCCCAATGAGTTTCCATCCTTGGTTGCAAGTAAAATGAATCACGTTTTTGTACGTATAGTTTTGTCCATCAATATATCCAAATGCCAAAGGAGGTGGCTTAGGACATTTGATAATTCGGCATATTGGTTGTAAGCCAGTCCATTTTCCCTGTGCGTTGCAAATAGTGCGAGGATATTGATATTCCAGTTCATATCCTTTTTGACAAGTATATTCCACTTCTGTCCCTACAGTCAAATTCTAAAACAAATAAAATCTGATATAAAACCAGGTTTAAAAATATGAAAATGAGATATTATGTGAAGGGAAAAAAACTGCAAAACAATTTAATGCTTATAATAATTCACCCAAGAGAAACAACAACTAATAAGTGACATTAAATATCTTAAAACATCATATAAGAACCGTATTAAAATTAAAATCAATTTTATTTTAAGAATAGTCTTCAATAAAAATCATTTAGTACTACTAGTTGAACTATAATTATAACTCTTGTTAAAATTTGTTAGATAATCTTGTTAAAGAGTTTTTGTATGGTCATGCACATATAGAGTAAATGTTTTATAACTTTAAATAAAATAAATTAATTATCTGTGCAACTAATTTTTTTATGTGCATAGATGCCTGAAAAATATTAATGATAAAAAATTTCTTGCTACCCTGTTCTAGTGCAGTCAATCAACATTTAAACTGCTGTCTTAAACAGACATAAAAAATATAACTTTACTATCAATAATTTAATATACTTCACAATAAAACAATGTACAAATATTGCACTGCGGCTTCCATGATGCTTTTGAATGATAAAACGAGGTTCACTTTAAAATTGATAATTTAATAAGCTTTGCAATATTATGTACATATATCAAATAACCAATAAATACTAGATCAATACACATAATGTGTGTGCTGCACATAGAAATTAATAATTTTTTTATCTTCCCAAATGGTTACACTAGTGAAACACTTCACTCCATTTTAACTAAAAACTGTTTTCTGAATAGAGAAAGTTTTGAGCAGAAACACTCACCCATCTAGAATCAGATAAAAGACTTTCTTGAACTATATAGCAGAAAAGTTACCCTTTATACAACAATTTTCTAATTGGAGGGTGAGGGGAAATTAGTCGGAATCAAAGTTGCATAAAGAAGCAGTAAAAATGAAAATATAGCAACTGCCAGCACAGAACTTACACAAAATGAATTAAGAAAATTGAAAACAAAATGGAAGAGAATCAAAACAAATAATATTGGAAAGTATTAATTACAAATGAAACTGCTAGTAAGATATTTCAGGACTTTTCCTAAATATAAAATTAAATTTATGGATAAAATAAAATTTATAGAATAAAATTTTCGGAATTTGTATCGACTAGCCATCGCCGAGATCGAACCCCGGTTCACCTCATTGGAAGGCGAACTCTCTATCCCCTGAGCCATCACGGCTCTAAATAATATAGTTTCTAACAATTATGAATACTTTACTGAATGATGTATCTACCTGTTTGGGAGTAATAGGTTGGCCATTAGGTACATGAGGAGGTTCTGGGCACAGAATTAATTGGCAGTGAGGCTCACGATCGCTCCACGAGCGATTCGCTTTGCATGTTCTTTTTCTAGCACCTCTGAGCTTATAACCCGTACCACATGAGTATTCAACTTTGCCACCCAGTAGAATGGATTTTACAATGGTATGTCCATTCTGTAGGTCTGGTGGACTTTTGCATTCAACTGGTTTGCAGAGTGGATCAGCTCCACTCCAGGTACCATCTGGTAGACAAGAGCGAGAGCCATCTCCAATCAAGTCATAACCTTCATAGCAAATGATGGTAACAGTGTCTGAAAAACTGTAAGTTTTCGTTAAATAATGCAATTATTTTAAAAAATATATTTAAACAGGGTGCATAGCCAGATCTTTCTTCAAAAAATAAGCACCTTTTAAGTATTTTTTAAGCACTCAAAAAATATTTTTAACCACTTTCCAAAAAAAAAAAATTCATAACTAGGATCTGTGCAGTAACAAAATTTTTTCTTTTCTGTCGTTTAAAGTTCTTAATTTATAAACATAAAAACAATAAAATTCAAAAACATCTCCAAAAACTTTACATAATCATGATAGAATAACTAGTTTCTGATAAACATTGTATACAAAATTGTAAAAATCATGAATTTTTTGCAATTTAAAACAACAATCGATATGGTAAAAAAAATCTCATTTTAAAAGATAAAAAATTAAGCACATTTTACAAACACCAAATAAAAAAAGCACCTTTAAGGGTTTTTAAAAAATTTAAATCAAAAATAAGCACCTTTAAGCACTTTTTAAAAATGCTACGCACCCTGTTTAGTGTTTATTTAACAGATTGAGTTTTGTCACCTAATTTCTTTATAGCACATAAATCAACAAATTTTTAAAAAAATTTTTTATTTCTAGCAATTAAATGCAAAAAAAAATTTAAATACTAGATTAAATCATAGATATTTGAAAAGCTGAACATTGAGTAAACATATACAAAACAGGGTACTGATGTTTTAAAGAAAAATACTCAGCAATGTTTATGGTGCTATCCAAGAAAATAACATTTGAGGAATTCCTTTAAATCATGAAATTTATAATCGATGTACGCAACCAGAGGTATTTAAATTCATCAAATCAAACCAAATAAGGAATCTTGGTGTTTTCTTGAAAATGGTTTCCAACATTTAAAGATTGAAACAGTCACGGTTTTTGGTTCACTTGCTCAGTTTTACAAACATTAAACATATTATTGCTGACATTAACCCATTAAACTTTAAAAAAAATTTAGGTGCCATGGGCAATTTTTGAAAAGTAGAGGGTTTTTTTTAAGATAACCGATTACGATTTAGAAAAATCTGATTTAGCTGTTTACGATTTAGAAATTTCTTTTCTCTCAAGTCACAATCCATCAAAATATTCTCTTACGAGAATTTACACAAAGTCAATTAAGTATACAAATACAAAAATTAAGATTAAAAATATCCAATTTTTTGGAAAACATAATAAATAAAATAAAATAATTTCTCAATGATACAGAGGGCAAATGCAGAAACAATTAGTGTATAAGTTTTAAAAATATTCTAATTAATCTTCTTGAGCTTGGAAAAACATCGCTTTCCATAACAATTTTTATGAAATAATTTCTTTATACTTAAATATTGTATCCTAGTTGAAATATAAAAGAATGCACAAATAAAGTTGCCAATTTGACGGGAAGGGGGGGGGAATCCGGCAACCAATATTTTTTATAATGCCAATTATTATTATTATTTAATTAAAATTAGCAATAGATATTGAAATTAATTTAGATAATTGTTACTTTGTGAATAACATTGTGGCTCAATTTCCATAACAAGAAACAATTAATAATATAAAATTATGAAAAAAAAAGGTTTTTTTAAAAATAATAATAAAATCTTTTTAAGGCTCATTTTATCATTTAATGCTAGTATAAAGCAATCTAGTATATAAAAAAAATTTATTTTACAACATTTTAACTTTAATATTGTATTTGCTTCGATAAAGAAGTATAAAACATTAATCATAGCTACCTGTGACCTCTCCAAGATATTTCTCCATTTGCAGGAGCAATAGGGACTGGGCATTGCACTTTCTCACAGATAGACTCTTGGTTTGACCACTTTTTGCTTTCCTGACACGTTCGAGAAGCTGTCCCAATCAGTTTATACCCAACATCACATTCATATTGAATTGTTGAACCTACAACATTACTGTCACCTGGAGAAAAAAAAAGAACAATTAGGACATTCACGTTAAGATAACAATGCAAAAATATTAACGGAGATAGTTTATGGAGAAAATATTAATTTAGAAATTAAAATAATAATGCCAGAAAATACTAGATTTAAAATTGCAATACAAAACCTTCAGTGGTATTTTAAGTTGAATTATAGTATACCATTTCCGTAATTTAGTATTAAATACAATTTTAATGATTTTATTAAGTTTAAGCTGTTTAAAAAATAATTACTTGTGATCTGGACGCAATGTTAAAGTGGGACTTTTATGACTTTAGTTGTAGAAATATAACCATTTTTATTCCAGCACAACTCATAAATTTAAAATTAGCACAGCTAGACAACAAAGCATCTTATGAGATGGTCATGAAACCCATTCTTAAAACATTTTAAAGAAAATAAAATGTTATTATGTGTTTAGGTAAAAATGACAAGTGCTGAATTCTAAGACATAAGGTTCAAGTTACAATGAAGGAAGCATTTGACGTCTTAACTTCTTTTACTTTACTATCAAGTTACTTTATATTCAAAACTTGCTTTAATAGTGACCATATAAGTATCTAAAGTCCATTGAATATAAATGCCAAGGTTAAAGGCAGCCAAAAATATTATGTGACTAGTGGTGAGTTGATATTTAAAACAACTTTCGCGAAGAGCAAGCAGAAAACCCATACCTAGAATGCGGCCATTTTCAAGTGAAAGTTGTTCAGTCGGACATCTTATTGCAACACAGGAGGGATCAGTTCCACTCCAAGTTTCATCAGACAAACATATTCTTTCAGCTGATCCTATCAGTTCATATCCCTTATGGCAAGTACATTGTACAGTACTGCGATAAGTTGTATCGTGTGTTACGATATCTCCATCTGCTAAAGAAGGTGGTGAGGGACAACGAATTTGCACGCATTCTGGTTCTAATCCTGCCCATTCTCCATCACCAGTGCAAAGTCTTTGGATGGATCCAATGAGTTTGTAACCTTCATCACAGTAATATTCCACACTAGATCCATATCTGAAAAAATAAAGAACAAATATTAAGCAGATTTTTTAACATCCTTGCAAATTATTCAGATATTTCATTAATTAGCATCAAAGTTATTCATAGATACAAAGTGAAATTTTTTTTTAACAGATTAAGTTTTACTGTAAACTCTGATTAGTGGAAATCTGATTAGATATACAAAGGTTGCATCTAGAAGAAAATAAAACTACTAAAAGTGGAACACAAATTCAAATGGAAAAATAGATTTCAGTGGAAAATTCAAACCTAAAAAAAAGAATCACAATAGCACTGAGAATGATGTTTGTTTAAGCTGTATACCATTACTCAATTTTACTTTTGCTTATTATGTTGCTTTTTATTTTCCATAGATCAATCAGGGGTCTGCAAATCCCAGTTGCCCATTTCCCATAGCATCTAAAGATATCATAGTTGATACCTAAAATTTAACCTAATTCTGAAAATCTGAACAATTTCAGTAGAAAAAAAGATCTTTTTAAACATAGCATCCAATTAAACCGTGGGTATTTTGTCTTAAAAAACTATAAGGCATATTTGAATGTTATGTAAGTTTATGTATAATGTGATTTCAACATACATAATTGACTGTGTCTTATGCATGCTAAAATCCAAAGTATGCTCGTATACCATAGTTTGAACCAAATTATTTATTTCAAAACTCAAAAAGCTGTTATTCTATTTTCCATTCTATAATATGCTGTAAAATAGCTTTTGTAGACCCTTGATACAAAATGTGTGTCTTCCTTAAATAGCTAGCACTTGGAAATAGCAAAATGAAACTTTTTCAGTTACAAAATAACTATTACAATATGATTTAAAAAAAGGGGACTTATTTTAACACTTAATGAATACTCAGGAAAATATTATAAATATATAGCATACATAAGCAGAAAGATTAAAAAGATCTTTTTACTTGTTATCAGAATAAATTAAATATGCGTGTGTGACTTTGAGAGGGTCAGGACAACGAATGATATCACAAGAAGGATTCTGATCACTCCACTTTCCTGTTGCCAAGCATTTTCGAACATGTGGACCTTCCAATCGAAACCCTTCACGACAAGAATATCGTGCTTCACCTTTAAAAACAGTAAATGTTGTTTCCAAAATAATATTCTCACCCTGCAATAAATAGAAGTATAAAACAATCATAATACTAACAAACTAAAACAAATCATATTTTTAAAAAAATGATTCTCACTACAATTAAAGAGCTTAACAGAAGAAAATTCTAAGTAATATTTCAGTGAATTAAAGGAACACCAACCTTAAAAAAATATAACAACTGTATTGGTATCATAATATCTGACAAGTGTCAATGTCGAAAACATCACTGGACTTCGAGCTAGCAAGTCATTAAAATATACTTCTCTTAACTACTTATACACTATCTTTCGAAGAGCTGACCATAACATATTTTAAAATACAAAATTTCATACATTTTCAGAATATTATTTTGTACCTGGATCAATTATATTTTATGAATAGTAATTTATATAATGAGAACCACTTCATAAATAGAACACAGAATTTTTCAGAACGCATAATATTAATTGTGTTCCTTTAAATTTAATCTTTAAAAAAGCTTGTATTAATTTTAGTAAAAAACTTTAAAATACTTCGAAAAATTTATGATTTTTTTGAATATTAAATACTCTTTTTAAAACTTTTTTGAATGAACTTTAATCTTTTTTGAATAAAAACCATCTAAAAAGATTTGAGGAATTCATTTCAAGATACAAATATAACTGAAAGATTTTAAATAGTGAATTCATAAACATGACATTTGAAAACCTTTCAACTGTGAGAGAATTTTTGACCAAATTTTATTCCATAAGTAATAAAGGTTATGCACAAATACTTTATTCCTTCTATAATAAATTTATTTTAAAAAAGTGTTGAACACCACAATTTATACATTTTTAAAAGCCCCAAAAAATTAATAGGAATGCCTGTAGGAATAAAAAAAAATTTAAACATTTATTTGCTTTTAAAAATTTCTGTTTCAGTTTACTACTATAAGGAAATATGTTCCACAAATTTATAGAAACGTTAACCACCACTAGATATGAAGGATTTATACATAATTCCTTAAAATAATTTTTTTTGAAAATTTCTTTTTTTTTCTTTTTTAAGGGTTTTTTTCTGACAAATTCTGTTACAATTCACAGGCAGAAGGAAATAAATTCCATTCCCACTCAAATGTAAGCGTCCGATGGAATTTGTCTTTAAATTTCCTTATAGATAATATAACTAATTAATTTATTGTTTTAATATGATAAAAAATTTTTTTAGGTGAGGCATCATTAACAGGCTATTGTAATAAAGGAAATTTGTAACAAAAATTCTACATTTTCCAAACTTGCAACAAAAAAATTCTTTTTCCAGTACCTGGGCTAATGGCCCACAATTGACAGGTCTGCATTCAGGTGAAGCTGGTTCCCATTTTTGATCTTCCATACAAACTCGAACTGTAGGTCCCACAGGCTGATAACCTTCTTCACAAGAATACGACACCCTCTGTCCAAATCTCCTACCATCGCTCTTCCAGAATCCGTGGGCAATGTTATCAGGTAGGGGACATTCCACTGGTTCGCAGGCAGGAGCTTCATGTAGCCACTGACCATTTTCCAAACAAACTCTATCAGCCTCTCCAATAAGAATGTATCCAGGATTACAAATGTAGTTAACAGTATTGCCTACAGTCCAGTCACTTCCACTGTACCTAATTTAAGAAGTGCAATGAGAATACTAAATAGGTATAGGGAAAAAAAAGTACCTTTGACCTGATTGGAGAACTTACCTGCCATTAGATATAGACTCAGGTTGGCTGCAACTTACAGGAACACAACTTGGAGCTTCCCCACTCCATTCACCATTACTTCTACATTTTCTGGATCTAACTCCCTAAAATTAAACTTAAAGTTAAGGATGATTGAATAATTATGAAAAGTTCTAAAGTTCAAAGTTTGACAGATAGGATGTCATTCTACATACATTTTTAAAGAAAAATGCTGAGCTTAAGAAAAATTTTTTTATTCATATTTAAAGTAGTGCTTCAGTATGAGACACTTTTGTTTTATGTTTCTCATGTCATATTTTGGAGGATAAAAGTTTATTTCTGTCATAGAAATTAAAGAGAATTAATAATAATTGCAAAGAAAAGTAAAATTTTTCAATTTACTTATTGCTTTGAATTTAATAAAATCATTGAAACTCAACTTATACATGTACCTCAGATTAAGATGCACTGTCTTACAATACAGTTTACAATTACTACTGTTATAATTATTTATAAATCATTAAAAGCCAAGGAAAAAAATCATGTACGTCAATTTAGTTTAAATTATTAATGAGCACTTGATTGACATCACCAAATTAAGGAAGCATAATTTTTTTTAAAAAAATGCTAATCATATTGGTTAATATAAAAAGATTGATTTATAAGGCATGAACAATAATGATTGATCTATAAACTTATCAAGATATAGAGAGTATTAGGCCTTCAGCAAGTAACCCTTCCATTTTGCCATAAGCTTTGACAAAAAGTTCTTGATCACAAATAAATAGCAGTTTTCATCTTCAAACATTCGAAATTGCACTTGACTGTGCAAGATTTCTAGGAAGATATTATCTCAAAGAATCTTCAATGCATGTAATTTAGAATGTAGAAAGCAGTAGGTACAAACCATGCTTTTTTCATAGTTAAGAGTTTGTGTGAGAGGTCGTATATCAAGGCTCGTAGCAAACAGAAAATATGTTTGCAAGAGACTTAATAGTTAAACCATAAAATGTTTTACATCTATAAAGTTTTGAAATCAAGACTTTTACCTGCAGTTCAAATCCAGAATGGCAATAATATTTCACAATACTTCCATAAATAACATCATTCACTTCTATACCACCTTTCTCAGGAGCTTCAAGCATACCACAGCTGACCGGAGTACATTGAGGAGGTTCGTAAGACCATGTTTTATTGGCTTGGCAAACCGTATAACTAGTTCCATGAAGTTCATACCCTTGTTCACATTTATAGAGAACCGTGGCTCCATATCTGTAATCTTTTCCTTCCACTATGCCATGCAGAATGGGTGCCGGGGGAAGACATAAGACACGCTCGCAGCGTGGTAATTCTCCAGCCCAACGATTTTTCAACTCACAATACATTTCGCCAGTTTCTTTCATTTCAAAACCCTCATCACATTGATATCTCACAACGTTACCAACATCCAGATTATCTTGAGGTCCAATCACATGACCATGTGGCACTCTAGGGGGAGATTCGCAAGAGCGGGGTTGACACATTGGAAGTGAATCATTCCATAGGCCTCGGCTGGAGCACGTGAGGGTGCTCAGACCATCTAAACGATAACCATCGTCACAATGAAACTGTATTCGATGACCTAATCGATACTGGTTTTGGAGTGCTATTACTTCTCCATTTTCAATTGTTTTTGGAGCTTCACATACAATTTCTAAAATGATATAAAAATGCATTAAAACACTTTTTACACATAAAAAAGTTTTTCTGTTAGATAGTTATCACAAAAATATTTAGAAGAATAAATAAATAACTATTGGATGGTCAAATGAAATGCAATATAATCTCCATCATCCAAAGTACATATATATATGAACTACCAAATTTCCATTGCAGGAAACAAAAAGTGGTTGCTATCATGAAGGTCCTATCTATAGATGCGCAAGACGATTCTTCTTCATACATTAAAGCTGTGAAGGAACTGTGGAATTTCTTATCATGAATCAAAGTTACTATCATGTGAGGCGCAATACTTGTGATACTGAGGAGGTACAGTTTCTTAAAATGATTATAAGGTTATATAGAGAGTAGAGTGCTATATTATGTAGAGTGCAGGACCTTAGTTTTTAATATTTTCTACAATACACATTGAATATGAGAGAAAATTCTTAGGTCTTGTGGCTCAAAATCATTAAAATACATAGTTCATAAAAAGGTAGGGAAAAATATACTTGCAAGAATAAACTTAGTTAATAGTACTCATTCAGACAAAACAGCTTTTTGTATATTATCAAGTTAGAAGAAAGCAAACAAAATAGCTTTATAAACTGAATTATAGAGATAAAGATATAAAAGGGAAAATCCACTGATGCACAAGAACATTTCCTAAAAGCGCAATTCAATATCACAATTTCAGAAATAATACATTGGTTTCAATTATTGAATGGCATTCAATGAAAGTATGTACAAGTAAATATACCTAATCCTATTATGTTTAAGAATATGAAGAATAACTTTTTAATACTTTGTTGTAAAGAATTACCTTCACATCTTGGGGCAGTTCCACTCCATTTATTGTCCACTTGGCAGGTCCTTGTTGATTCCCCGGACAACCTATATCCAGGATTGCACACATACTGTATGATATCTTGAAATAAGTATTGCCTACCATTTATATAGCCATTAGCAATGTAACCTGGGAATCCACAGCTTATACCTACATTAGAAAGATAAGTGATATGAGAAACATATTGTGCAAAGTAACATTCTTAAAATGTGATATTTACGGCAGTCGATTTCATCGGAAAAGCTTCTTTTTAGCATTTCATTCTAAAATTATTAATTTTTCAATTTAAGGAAATTAATATTTAACAAACATAAATAAGAATAAACAAACATTTTACAGATAAAAATTAAAATTTTTGAACATTGAAGAATGACAAATAAATGATGTAAGTGAAAAAAAGACCAAAAGTTAATTTTTAAAAAGATCATAAAAAAATAAAGAAAAATATTAAAAATATAAAAATAATCATTAAAAAAAACATTACTTGGAACAATAGGAAGAATAATTTTTAATGCTAAAGTAAAAATTAGGAAAAATGAATATTTATAATCAAACTACTAATTATAACTGCAAACTATAGATGTTCTAAGGAGTCTAATTAATAACAGTTACCCTCCATTTAAAATCCACAATAAGTTTTTTTTTAAAAATTTCAATGAGTTTGGAACTTACGAACACAATGGGGACTTCCATCAGACCAATTACCAGATGCTAAACACCTTCTATCAGACACTCCAGTCAATTCATACCCTGGATTACAAGAATAGGTTAGGTGAGCATCCGTTTTCATTCCACTTATGGAGACTTCTCCATTTGGAGGAGAATCAGGCATAATACATCCTAGAATAACCCAAAAATTTTATAAAGGCAAAAACTACATATATTTTTTAACAGTTACAAAGCTTAGTTCAGAAAAAGTGGATGTGCATATTTACCAGAGCAGAAATGTGAATCTTTTTGTTGCACTTTTCCTCGAATACCAGAGAGGAAATCAGCCCAAGACCGCACATTGCCGTGATATTTATCACAACGAGTCATCAGAGCAACAATATCATCTACAGACAAAACATAGTCCCAAATATTAAGCAATGCCATGGTTCCTACAAATGCTTCTGGAGTGCTGAAACCTGCACCTTGTTTGTCTTGCTCCTGACCCAATATCAGAGTTCCAGTCACTGGAATAAAGAAAAAGAAGAGAAAATACAACAAGGCATACAAGTTTGTAGCTGGATATAATTCTATTTATATAAAATGCAAGTAGAGAAACTATAATATATGAAGGAAAAATATCGCTGAACAAAATAAACAAATAAAATAAAAAGATAAATTCCGGTGAGATGTGATTTAGTAGAAAAAAAATTAATAAGAAACAATTCTGAAATCAATGAGTTGAATGGAGTTTCTTGAAATTTTAAACAGTAAGAGGAATCGGGTCTTGTGCAGAGCAGTTGTATGGATGAAGCAAGAAGAGCATTTGTCCAAGGCTTTGAACTTCTAGGACTTAAAGGGACTATGAACCAGTGATATTTAGGAGAAGGAAAAAAACATTTCAATGTCTTAAAGTTAATTTTTAATAATAAAATTTGCAAAATTCTTTTCCATTTTGATCAAATAGATGTAAACTTAAGCATGGCTTCCAAAGGAGTGGTCACCACAAATTTTTGGAGCCCTGCATAAGCTGTTCGCTGAAATATAAATCTTAGACATGAACAACTCACCCATTTTAGCGTTTGTAGTTATCAATTTTCAACTTTGTAGCCTTGTAATTTTGAGCTCAATGCAAAATATAAGGGAACTTCTGGACTTAATACTTAATCATTAGGACCAACTAACCTCAGGTAAAGACTTTTCGATGGATTCAATATGCATTTGCTTTACATAGAGGAAAATATCCCACAGATAGTCCAACACCAAGGGGATTTGATCCCATGATCCATCTACCACTAGGAATATTTTATATCAACATTGTGGTAAATGTAATAATACGGTAGCAGAATTTGAACCAACCAGTGGACATTAGGATTTTAACTTGTTGCCTAAGAGGCCAGTACTACATCCCCTAAGCCATAACGACTTGGAAAATGAAATATAAACATTTTTAGATGATTATTCAACTTTTGTCTTTAAACACATTTTTTTTTTACTTCTAAGGACTCTATGGCCAGTATGTATTTGATAAAAAATAAATGATAAGATAATATTTGAAAATAAAAAAGCAAGAAAAATATTAAGTTGCTCAGTTTTAAGAATAAAATTCAAAAACAAAAAAAAAGATATACAATGTTTTGCTGTTAAAAATTGCTCGCATTGCACAATGCCTATCACAATGTTTTGTCCAGCACTAGCGGAGTCCAAAAATAACTCTGGTCTTGTGATATTTAATTAAGACAGTAATTTCAAGTCCCTTAAACAAGGAGGTATAATTACAGTGAAAGAGAATCACCAAAAGTTTGAGCCAGTTAATGTTACACAGTGAAACCTTTCGGGAGCGAACACTCTCCATTCCTAAGTAAAATGGTCATTGATGAAGGTTGCTTTTTCTCAGAGTCTACCCCATTGACTCATTGACTGATTGTTATCGAAGGTGACATTTGTGATTTTTCTCAGACGGTATTAGTTTTAGTCAGTGCTTTTTTCTTGGTGCGAAAATGCCACTTCTGTTGGCGTCATAAAAAGATGAATCAATGAATAAAATTTAGCGTCCATAAAAATGATCCCAACTGATATAATAGTGTGTAAAAACAAATTCACCAATTATGAATGATAAAGCTGTTTTAAATAAATAAATAATTATGTTTTTTGTTTAAGTTTGTATTTAATTTTATATCATAAAAATAAGTAAGAGTTAAAAGAGAAGAGGCTTATTTGTTTGAAATGCTTGTTTTTTTTTAAAAAAAACTTTTATTCAAATTTAACTTTTAACTCTAAAATAAATCATTTATAGTATCGTCTTTAGTGTACTCTGATTGAGGTTGTATAATCAAAAAGAGCTTTCTAAATAGGAGCCTCAGACAAACATTTTGAATACATTTTAATATTTTTTGTATTGATATTTTTTTGTGTTTCCTTATTTGAGTTTTTCCACATTTCGCACAGATATTTGCCCGATCACTGGAAGAGGTTTAAATGGTCTTTCCTAAAGGTTTTCATTAACACAAAGTCTATGGAAAAAATTCTGGGTCTCCCAAAAGTGGTCGCCAATAGAGGTGGTCTGTCCTGGAGGTTTCACTGTAATTCTAGTTTTTCCTCTTTCTCTTGAATTATTTAAGCAAATTGAAAACATTTTCTCATAGTTATAAAACCCAATATAAAAATAAATGAAGAATAACTAAAATAAAATCAGCAGGACTGAGATTTTTATATTTACTCGGAATAAATGTGTTTGGAGCTAAACCAGTTCCATTATCTTGCTGCACACCATCTTTGTAGAAGGCCCAAGCACCCTGTCTTGAAGACCATGTGACACATAAGTGATGCCAATGACCATCATTTGCAGTGACATCAGTGACAACCTTATCCATGTTCACATACAATACAAATCTAAAATAATAATATTGAATTTTTAACTTTCTGTTTAACTCTGCATAAGAATTGCATCACTAAAACAAGTAACTATGCTAAGAAATATAAAATAGAGACATATACTTTTTTTATCGTAATATTTTAAAAAGAAAGATATATATATACTTATTCCATTAGTAAAAATTATTACTTATAATTATAAAACAAACAATAGCATTAAAAAAATTAGAAAAGTGGCCCTTGACACTTTATTAATCAACTATCATCTTTAGTATTTTTAAACTTTTCCTATTTTCAGTTTTAATCTAAAATATAAGCTTAAAAAATAACCAACTTAAATAATAATATGTTCTACATAAATTTTATAAAAAGTTTTTCTAAACATAATTTAAGAAGAAAAAAATAAAAAACGTGAGAAACTCGATCATTATTCTTAGAAAATGGTATGGTAACAACAAAATATTAATTTCATTTAGTGACAAGATTAAAATGAGGTTACCATTGTTATTGATAAGAGAATATAAATTTCAATTGTTAGAAAAAAATCATGATGAATCATATTTGTATTTATCAAATTTTATTTTTAATTGTCTCACAAAAAATACTAAGTAAATAATGTGTAAACAAATATCTTTCAGGCAATAGTTATAAAATCAAATTATAAGAAATAAATTATATATCTTTGTAATAAATTATATCAAGGTATTTTTGTTTGTCCAAAATGTAAGTAACCATAAAAAATTTAAATTAATCAGTATTCTATCTGATACTTTACATACATTAAAATTATTTTCATCATAGAAGATGAAAATCAAGCATAGAATTAAAGTATTATAACAAAGTGTTTTTAACAATACCACATGCACATGCAGCGTGTTAAGTGGGTAACAGAAAGAACACAATTTCAAAAATAACTTTGAAACAATTGAAATGAAAGGATAAAATAGTGTACTGATATTGAAAGCTGCTAGAATTATATACATAATTTTTGAAATTATAGTTTAAAAAATTGCCAACAGATTATATTAATCAAAAAAGTAGTTGCGATACTGAAGCCTAGAGCAATAGGTTAAATGGTTAATTTCTAAATGAAGCCATGAATCCCCGAACCATTGTGTAATTCTTGTTTTGAAACGTCACAAGTTAGATCACTGTCTGATACAGTAAATAGGCACAGTTTTCTAACTTAATTTTGTGTTGGTTTAAACTGCTATTTGAGGACAACTTTTGGTTATGAAATAAAATTCTTATTGTTTCAACCATCAATATACTATTTATTTCATCATTTTATCACTTAATGCTTCACCATTTTGGATATTACATAGCATCCTCACAGTATGTTATTCCCATTGCTATATCACATTAAATTACTTAGGTTTTTATTAGAGATAAAAAAATGAAATCTTTCTTTTAGTTTGTGTAATTAAACTCATTAATCCAGATGGAAGAAAAGTAGAATCAATTACTAAAATACTATTTAAAAATATATTGTTTAAAAAAAACTTTACTACACATAGTTTAAAATAATTTCTTTGATATGAAATAATATATCAAGAACAAGTTATCAAATAGAAAGGTTCAAGGCCATTACCCACTGTAATCAGTTAGGGTGAGCAGATTGTCAGCTTCATCGGTAGCATAGGAGATCGGAGTTCCGTAATGCAGTTTGTCACTAGTCAGCATCCAGAAACAAACAGTCACCTCAGCTAATTCCCGAGGAAGGTAATCAAGCTGCACAAAATCCATAATATTTGAAGACGGAAAATTCAAAAGGAAATCTGATGAAAGCTCTGCAAAAAAGAAAAAATTAAATGACTTATTACTCCGAAAACAAGCATTTATAACAGTAAAAACTAATTTAAAATAAGTTAATTTAATGTCACATCGCAATAAAGCATCCTCCACGACAGTAAAAACTAAATATTACAAGATAGCATAACAGGTTCAGTTGAATACAGGGTTCAATGCTGCTAGGTCCAAATCAGATACACTATACCAATAATGAATAGCAATATAAATTCTTTTTTGTTATAGGCAAATTAAAACTCTAAAAAAAGCTAGAAATATTTTTTTATGATGTATAAAAATTCATTTTCACAATAACTTTAAAAAAAGACACATGTTCATAAAAAAAGATAAAATGAAATAAAAATCTAAAAAGATAAAAGAACTATAAGTTAAAAACCTAATAATAAGATTTAACAACTACCATAGCAGAATAAAGTCTTGTTATTCTCGAGAACTTTTCGAAATAGGCAGATAAAAACGTTTAATACAGAAAAAAAAGTACTAAAAATATCTACTTTTAATCCCTTGAATATTTAATACAAATTTATATCCAGAATATTGTTATTCAAAAGGACACAGATTTATACATAAAATCCAAAAGGGAATAAAAATTAACAATACAACGAAACTAAAAGTTAAAATCTAAAAACAAATATTGACATGATGTTACAATTAAAGCAAAAAATTACCATTTTTTGCACTCATAGAATTTTACTTTAAAAGAAATTACCTGCTTAAAGCTTCTTAAATAAAAGGTATTGAATTGGATATTTAATTACAACGGATGTGATGTACTTCTAATTTTATGAAAAATTCGTTGCTAAATCTTGTTCAAACTTTCAAAAAGGAATCTTAAATAATCCTTATGATGAAAAGCTTACCAGTTTCACAGAGGTCTCCAACATATGATGGTGGACAGAGACATTTGAATCCAGCGATTCTATCGATACAGGTCCCTCCATTCATGCAGGGTTGTGGTTGGCATTCATTAACATTTGTCTCACAAAAAATGCCTTCAAATCCAGCCAAGCACTCACATCTAATGTGACATTAATAACAAGTACTATAATAATTGGATTAAACATTTAAAAAAAATTACACTCAATCTGCATCTTGTAAAAAAAGAATATTACTTTTATTTAAAGTTAGATTCAACCTCCCTAAATATAAAGCAATAAAATAATATTTAACAAAAATTAAAAAGTAAATTAAATCAGGGTGCTAAATTTCCATTCGCTATAAGCAACTAAATATTTAGGGCTAGTGAGTAAGTAACAGAGTTTGACTTCAGTGTCACTGCAGTGCAACAGACCTGAGGTGCAGAAAATTCTCAGAGCCTAATATTACCCCAGACCAGGTTTTATTGATGTGAAATTTCAGCAAAAATTACAGTGTTTTTTTTTTTTCATTTATAGTTTTTATTTATTTAATTTTAGTTACAATAACTTTTTCAAAATATTTGGATAATTTTTGCTCCAACAATGAAAACAATTCACTTCCATTTTACTCAATTCTTGAATAAATTAGCATCGTTAAAAATAATATGAAATTAAAATACATAGAAAAAGTAATAATTTATGAAGCTAAATTTATGGTCCAACTCATAAAAATAAGGTAATAAATCAACAAAATGACATATTAAGTTATTTGTATTATATTTTACATAGCAAAAAATATTCTCTTCCATTTCAGACAGTAAGTTGATATGGCATAAAGAATGTTAAAATAAACTTTAAAAATGAATTTTTAATATTTAAATGATGACTTAGTCTTTCGTATTCCTTATTTGTCCAAATATTACAATTTTAATTTAGTAACAAGATTTAACAAATAGTCTTTTTTTCCCTAGTTTTTTTTAAAAATTAGACCAAATATTTCCCCAGGGTTGGCTGAATTTCCCTCAAAACTCATTCACACACACTCTGGACCTCTGTAACAGAGTTTGGCTCCAGTATTCAGAGTTGACTCTAGTGTAACAGAGCTTGACTTTAATGTGGCTAGTACCTTTGGAACTGAAATTCCATGCCCCAAATTAAATACGCATGTATCGACTGATTAAATATTGTCATATTTTCAACAATGGCCACTAAGCTAGTTTTGAAATAAGGATTTAATACATTGGCAAAATGAATTATGAATGCTTAATTTTACAACAAAGATGTGCAAGTTCAATACCAACTAAATAGACAGCTTACTTAAAAATCATCACATCATCGACACAGGTAGCATTATTTTTGCAAGGAGAATCAGCACAATCATCAATGTTTATTTCACAATTTCTTCCTTCAAATCCAGGCATACAATCACAGGTGTAGTTGGCAATTAAATCAATACAAAATCCATCATTTTGGCAAGGATTACTAATGCATTCATCAATATTATATTGACACAAGGGACCTGAAATTTGTATACAATTGTTTAAATCTCAGATACATACAAGCAAAATGTTTTCAGATTGATCAATTTATTATAAAATTCAATTTTCATACCAACAAATCCTGCTGGGCATTTGCAATGGAATCCATTAATTTTGTCATAGCATGTTGCTCCGTTGAAGCAGGGTTCAAACAGGCAGTCATCAACATCTATTTCACAGTGCTCACCTGAATAACCAGCTGGGCAATAGCACTTGTAAGCATTTATTTCATCTTGACATGAGCCACCATTTCGACAAGGGCTGGGATCACATTCATTTATGTCTTTTTCACAATAAATACCTAAAAACAGAAAACAAATCAGTATTTTTCTTTAATTAATAAGAAAGGAAGAAACCATAATTTCACGTGAATTAGCTGACAACTAGAGAATTACATAACTCCCAACTCCTGCAAACATTACAGATTTATTTTATCTTTTAGCTAAATTGTTACTAGAACCATGCTTTGTTTCCAACTATTTTCAAGCAAGAATAGCTAGTTATAGTGTAGCTAGTTATGTCACATTTTTTATTAATCAATTTCCTCGTTTTAATTAATTGTTTTATAATTTCTGATTATTTTAATAATTATTACAAGGCTGTCATAATTTATTAAAAAAATTATTTCGTTTCATTCTATTCTTTTTTTAAAAAATACATTAAATAAGTATTTAATAAATTTAAATCTTAATCACGTAAAAATTGTTACAAGAATATAAAATACAGTCGAACTCGTTTATAACGAGCACAAAGGGACCGTAACATGTACTCGTTAAATCCGAGTGCTCGTAATAAACGGGTACTTAAGACAGGCGTGCAACCAGAAGAGGGGGGGGGCTTGGGAGGTCAAATGATTGAATTTACTTAAAATTTAATTAATACTTACTTACTTTAATTACATTAATTAATTTAATCGCGTTTTTTTTTATTTCGCGCACATTTCTTATCATTTTGAAAAAAAGATAAGACAGAAAGACTAGAAAGATGAGAAAAAAGATTACAAGACGGAAAAATATTGCTCGCTAAAACCGGGTCTTGCTCATTAAAAGCGACTTCTGTTCCATGGACTTAACATTGATCCAACCAAATATTCTCGTTTCCCTCAGTAAATCCAAGTTCTCGTTAAATCCGAGCTCGTTATAAACGAGTTCGACTGTAATAAACAATTAATTAAAATGGAGAAATTGATTAATAAAAAGGGTGACATAACTATTTAGTTATAATAAAATATATTTTAAAAAACTTAGAAGTAAAAATCTGAGATTTTTGTCATGACATATAAACTTTCCACATACCTTAAAAAAATTTTTTTGAACAACCCAAGACAATGACGATAAATTACAGTTTACAAGTCATTTTTTCACCACAAGTAAAAAAATTATCACATCATTTACAAAATACATGCAATTTTCATATGATTACACCATATTTACATCAATAGTTCGATTGTATAAATTATTTTTCCTCACATGATTTTTAAAATAAAAATCAATTTATAAATTAAATAAAAATAGCATAGAAAAAAAGCTAAGCCGAAGCACATTAGATTAAAACAGCTGCTTACCTGTATATCCAGGCTGACAAATGCAATGAAATCCTATTTCCAAAGCTTGGCAAGATGCTCCATTAAGACAAGGAACAGAAAAGCAATCATTTATAGTCAGCTCAGCCGAAGCTGGTGAAGCTTTTTTCATTACATCTTGAATCATCAACCCTATCAAAAGCATGCTTTTATTAAAAATATCTTCACTAATATTATATACATATATAAAAAAAAGCTAGGTATAGGACATTGACTAGTCAAAGAGACTCATACTAATCTGTTACTTAGAAGAGTTTGACAACAAAAATTTTACTTAGACTAAAAATTAGTAAAAATAAAATGCTTCACACTTTAAAAAATAAATAAAATAAAAAAACTAATCTGAACCAAGCATGTGTAGTATAATGTCAACAAAATAAATAAAAAACCCACTGTTTAAGTATGAAATGAGTGAATCACAGGAATATAAATTGTGATTCAGTGTTGAAAAATCTATGTAAAATAATAAATGTTTTGAAATCTTCCGATGACATCATATTTGAGATAGAATTGAGATGATTTGATATAAAATGGATAACTTATGGCTGAAAAGTCATAAATTGATGTGATTAACTAGAATTTGAGTTATCATATAGTATTAGATACAAAAAGATTCAAACACAGTTGAAAATTCAAGAGTGAATTTTTAATTACATAAGATTAGAAAATGATACAAGTGTCTTTGTATAATTTATTTTACTTAAAAAAAAGAAATAGAAAAGAAACTATCACATAAATTCTAATCTCGATCATGGTAAGATACCTAACACTCAATAATTGGTTCATAAGAGAAATTTTAAGGGTACGGTATGCACTTAAATTTCCAATGCACATCTATTTCATTTATCATGGAATTTCAAATATTCAAAATTTGAAAATATAAAGAAAAAGACTAAAAAAAATTTTTTTTTAAAAATGGAACAAACACCTAGTAAAAATGCAAAACCGAACAAACCTAGTTATAGTTACTAGGGGAATATTAACTTATAATGAAGAAAAAACTTACTCAAACTATATATTTAAATCTCAGATCATTAGTCCCTCTATTTGCGAATTTTAAGCTGCAGGCTTTAATGCAACATGTATAATGCATCATTTCACTTGTTTTTAAAGGGAAAGTAGTCAGTATCAGATATCAGAGCTATTTCATTCAAGGGCAAAATGCTTAGATTGTTAAATTACATTATTTTAAATAAAATGCGACTTGAAAACAAATGAAATAATAAAGACATATATAAATTGTAATGGCCTAATATTTTGAAAAAGTTTATTTGATAGGATCCTAAGAAGTGAAAAAAAAAACATCTTAGGATATCTTTAGTGAACACAGTTTTTTTTTAAATGTTACAAAACTTGTAAAAAGGTAGATTTTTTAGAACAAGATCATTTTTTTTAACGTTTTTATAGTTTACAATGAATTATATTTAATATATTTCACTAATACATGGTAAAAAATATTTTAATACTGATTTACAAGGTATCCGATACATTTTAAATTATCAAATTCATGACTTTCCAAGAATTTTTCATGACTTAACGAAGTTACTATTTTCTCCCGACAAAAACACAACAATAAATTTAAAAAAGCATTATAATAACATTGATTGAAATGATAGGTACAACCAAAACTGTTATACTCTGCATCTTCATATTTATAGATTTTAAATTTTGAAAAACAGAGTTAAGAAAGAGTTGATGCAATAAAACAGCTGAAAAAAATACAAAAGCAAATAATTTTCTTTTCTTTCTTTCTGCAGAATTATATTCTAAAGATATTTTTCTTGTTCATCGGAAAGGAAAGAAATACTCCTGATTTTTCTCATTTTGGAATTTTAAAGAAATCGCAAATGACTGGCTTGCTTCAGCTAGAATTTAAAATTGATAAAATAAAAAATAAATAAATAATAACAAAAATACTGGAATCATAAGTTTAAAAGATAATTTGCTGTTTTTTCTTTCATTTTTTGAAAGAGCACCATAATTTTTAAAGAACATGATAAAAACATTTCATATTTTAATCAAATATGACTGTGAGTAGGGATTTTGTTACAAATTCAGATGTTCGGTACACCATAAAATTGGGGGGAGGGGGGTAAATTCCATTTTAAAAATTAGATTTTTCAGTGACCTAAATCTATGCCTTTTCATGATTTTTTTAAAAAATAGTTAAAATCATGACAAATTTTGTTCAATACTGAAATTCATGACTTTCCAGGCGCGCGGATACCCTGTACATGGTAAAAAAATATTTCAATACTGATTTATTAACAAATAAGCTTATTTTAAAACAAAAATGAAACAGGATTTTAACTACAAACATAATTCACTATCAAATATTAAAGAAGAGAAATCATAGTGAAACCATGATGAGATGAGAAGAGATACCTTCGCAAGCATCAATGCTTTTTGCTCCTTGTGTACCAGTTCTCTGGTTTCCTGGGCACCTGAAGCAGGACTTCTCTCCTTTGTGTGGCTGAAAGAAGCCATCAGGACATGGAAAACATGGTAGGAGACCTATTCGAGATACTTCCCCAGGAGGGCACGGTACTGAAACAAAAGCAATAAAATAACTTAACTTTAAAAAAAAATTCATTTTTAAATTACACAAAAAATATACAGAATACCTTTAAGTACTTTTAACTGTCTGAAAAAAGACTAATCGTAATATTTGTAAATTTCAACAAATTTGTCTAGAATAAAACATTCAAAAGTAGTAGGAAGGAAAAACAGTGAAAACTCTAAAATCTTCAAACCAATAAAGTTATAAAAATTTATTCAATCCATTTAGAAAAAGTTCATTTTAAATCTATGTTTAGAAACTATTATAAATAAAACTATGAAATAGTTTAATTAGACAGGAAGTTTTAGAGCTTGTTGTGTAACCGTATTAGGTGAAAGCAGTTAATAAACAGTTTTTCTCAAACTTAACAGTTTGATTACCATTTTATTTATGGTTATTTGACTGTTTTGATTAAATATGGTAAAATAACCATTCATTAAATTGTTATTTAACCATTTTTTCCAAGAAATTTCTAACAATGCAATAATAAGAAATATTAGATAAAATATATTAAAAATATCATTTTAGAGAAATGTCTTAGCTTATTATTATATTACCATAAGACCTTCGACTTAATATCGATTCTCTCTGAAAGAAAACATTATAATGATGGAAGAGATTCTTTCAGTTTATGACATTTTTTTAAATTTCTCAAGAAATACCAAGAAAATCATTTTGAAACAGGCATTTAGCTCATATGATTTTTTTACACTTAACAATAAATTAAAAGCTTTGTAAAGGTTTAAGGGACCAACAATAAATTATGAAAGAAAGGAAGTGCTTTTGGACACCCTATGACAAAAATCCAAGCAATAAGCTTTTAACTTACAACTTTGCTAGTTATTTTCAATAACTGTATAAAATTTTGTAAACTTCGCTTAAATATTTACAGAACTATGGGCATTTTTATAAAAAAGTAATTTTTTTGTCTAACGTTTTTCTGCTATAATTTGGAAGATATTAAATAATATGAAACAAAATTTTTGAAGCAATTTATAATTAATTAGAAAGGTATTGTTATAAAATTAAAAAAAATTCATTAAAAACTGTGCAAGATATAAGCACTTAAAGTATTTCGTTTATGCTGTGCATACATGAAAAATATTTAAAAAATTCTTTTCATACTTTAGTAGTGTATTGAACTTAGCAACTAATGAAAAAAGTCTAATTTGAATATCTTAAGAATTTAAAAAGTTTCAAGCAATTTTCTGACTACTTTTTTCACTGATTTTAAAAGAAATCTCAAAACGATAAGGGGTTTTCCACAAATTATATTTTGTATAATGAAACAAGATTTATTAAAAATGGCATCAGCATTGTGGGATAAATATATGTTTTCCCCATAAATTTATGCTTTGTTACACAGGTTTTTTCCTTATATCATCACATTTTGGTGCACGGAAAATTACAGTAAAGTTTTATCATTTGATATTAAATTTTTCTCACAATCCAAAATGAAATTTGTGGAAAAGCCCTTCTTTTTTTTAGCTAGTTTTTAAAAAGTAAAAAAATTACTCAGTAAATTACTTTTTTTCGAGAAAAATTTTTGCGCATGCCTAGCATAAAATAACGACTTTAAATGCTCATATCTTGGGCAGTTTTTAAGGAATTTTTCCCAATTTTAAAACATTGATTTTCAAATTAACTTTAAATTGCTCCAAAACTTTGTTTAATTTCATTTAATGTTTTTAAATTTGTTCGAAAAAATTAGTTTTCTATAAAAATGTTCATATTTCCATAAATATTTAAACGATATTTATGAAATTCGATGCAGTTATTGAAAATAACAACCAAAGTATTGGATACAAGTTACAAGCTTTATTGCTTGCTTTTCTGGCATAGGGTGTCCAAAAATACTTGTTTTCTTTCGTTATTTATTGTCAGTCTCTCAAACTTCTGAAAGCTTGAAATTTTATTGCTAAGTATGAAAAATCACATGAACTAATACCTCATAAGCTACAAAATAATTTTCTCAGTATTTCTTCAAAAATTTAAAAAATTGTCAAAAACTGAAAGTGTCTCTTCCATTATTGTAGGGTAGTGTATTTTGTTGTTTATGAAAATTTGCAATACATTTAAAGTAAGTAAATAACAGGGTGCGAAGCCAAATCTCTCAACAAAAACTAAGCACCTTTAAAGTACTTTTTAAGCACTCAAAAAATATTTTTAAGCACTAAATACATTAACCAAATGTAAAATAGTTATCAAAGACTTTACATGATCATGATAAAATAATTAGTTTCAGACAAAGAAGTCTTTTCTTGATTGTATTAACCACGATAAAAAGATTGAGATTTATTGGTTCAATTTCAAAGGGTGGAAAATGAAGTTTGAAATTGAGAATATCTTGCTATTGAATATAGAGTTGTACATGAGAGAGCAAGTATGTCACCGAACCCAGCTCAGTAGACGCACATGCGGACTCCCAAGTATTTCATCAAACATGTAACATGATTGGTGCGCTATCATACATGGTGTTATCAAACGTTGCGGGCCAACGGTATGCCGAAATGGATTGTGGTTGAATGATTTGAGGAAATGTTGAATAGAACAAAGTTTGTTCTTTGTGGTTTTCACTTTGTTCAACAAAACCATTATGTTGCAAAATACGCAGCGAAAATCGACACGGTGAAGGAAAAATCTCATTTACGAAAAGGAAAAATTAAGCACTTTTTAAAAATACCCCATGAAAAAAAAGCCTTTAAGGGCTTTTAAAAAACAAAAATCAAAAACAAGCACTTTTTGAAAATGCTATGCACCATGAATAATTATAATGTTTTCAAATTATAATTTTAAAAAAACTGTTATTGTTTTAGTCTTAAAATGTTCATATTAGTAAATATTAATATAAAAAAACAGCTGAATTTTTTTTTTGTTCATAAAAAAGAAATTATAAAACCTTACTTTTGATAAAAATAAAAAATAATGTGAACAAATTTAGAAGAAAGCATACAAACATTTGCACTCAGTTTGACTACGGACTCCTCTTCTATGAGTGGTTGTTCCTAGAGGACAGGGGGCACACTCTTGGCTGGCATAATTGGGCTGATATTGTCCAATAGAGCAAGTCTCACAAGGCTCTAAACCAGTAGCAGAAAAACTGCCAGGCAAACACTGTGCTAAGAAAAAAGATGAAAGCACTTTAAAAAAAAAAGAGGAGCCAAACAATATTGCCTTTTTTAAATCAAAAGAATAGGCATCTAATCATTTCTTTTAAAAGTAATATTTTAACAAGTTCAATTCATGTGAAATTGTAATTATGCGTCAATTTATAGGTCTAAATTATTTCTTGATGAAAGCATTATCAAGAGACACAATATTTATGGTCCTTCAAATGGCGATTTTCCATTTATTTGCCAATGTAATAGGTATAGATAAAGAAGGCATATAATAAAAGTAATAGTGAATACAGCAAAATCTTTAATAATTACATTTATAATACAAAAGTTACAATAAAAAATAATTGCAATTACTTATAATACTAGCGCCAAAATTATAACAGGATTGCAATTACTACTCTCCTCAAGGGAGAATATGAAAGAAGTAGTTGCAGTCAAGTTTTCTTTCCTTTAATTTCTTAAAACTCAGAAATGTTTTTCAAAAAAAGAACTAATCAATGGCTTACAAGAATCAAAAAGTACACAAAAAACAAGGTTAACTATCTTAAGGGAATAGTGGACATTGAAAATGCATCAGGTCTTCAAAAACTTGATTTTGAGTACAATAAAAAATTGAAAGTAGTGTAGATACATATTATTATTTGAAAATATATGAGACTTATCATAAAATAAGGAAAGAGTCAATCACCTATAAACAAGGAAGTGACAAATTTTTATTAATTTAATTTACTATGTGAAATTATAAAACACACTCTCAAGGCAAATAGAGACAATTTATAAAAAATATAAATTAGGAAGAAACAGCAGGATTTACCTTTACACTCTCCTACACTTTTTGACTGGCCAGTAGTAGTAGATGTCTTTTCTGGGCAGACAACGCAAGAAAACTGTCCCTCTAAAAATTGATACGTACCCAAAGAACAAGCTTCACAAGTTTCAAAAACAACATTAAAGTAAGTGCCAACCGGACATTTCACTGTAACAGAAAGTATTATTTATTTCATGCAAAATGACAAAAAAAAAACTTTCATGTCTAATCATGTTTTTTTCAGCTACTTATTTTTCCAGAATGATAATTTCAACTATTTGCTTAGTAACAGATAAATGCAAGATTAAGCATATAAATTATTGCAAGTTATCAAATTAAAAGAAAAAATATTCTAACACTTAATGTGCAATGCCTGGTCAATTACCTAAGAATAAAGTCTATCAGAACATTTTTATAACACTTTAAAGTATTTATTTACTTTTTTAATTAAAATTTTACCATAAAATAAAATTGATTCTTCTAGACATAACAATATACTTAAAAAGTAACATACCAAATGGACCTGTTTTCATTTGTAGTTGGCAGATATACACAATATTTTTTAAGATAAATCTGATAATTTTTGTACTATTTTTTTAAATATTAAAAACACTGAAGACTTTCTACCATAAAAAAAATGGATACAGATAATAAATGATTGAAGCAACATTTAAAATGTTGATTATTAATCAACATAATTTATCCAGTTATTCAAGATTATTTATTAATAGATGTTAATAAACAAAAAATCAATAATTTTAAAAAGATTAAAACAAGCTTCATTGTTTTAAAAAAATTTTCTAAATTGCCAATAAAATAATAGTTGATAATAATAAAAAGTAATCTTTATAAAAACTTATGAGAAAGCCTTCAACACATTTCCCCTTATAATTTTTGAAATAGAATTAAAGAGCTTTATACTCTGCAAGATACAGTTTAAGGTTAAGAACTCAACTTGAAGGAGATTTAATCGCTACCAAAAATTAAAGCATCTTCAAGGTAACCATTAATTAAAACCTCATTATAGAAATTAAACTGAATGTTATAAAAATATCCTTAATACAGTGAATTCTTCATAGTAATTACTTCAAACAATTTTAGTAAATATTTTAACTTTTAAAACATCCCTTTCCTAATGGCTAAATGTGTAGAATACAAAAAAATATTATATTTTAATAGAATTACTAAAGAAACACTAAAAAAATAAAAGCAACTTTTTTATTATTTCAGTCTGGACATTACTTTTAAAAAAATGCAACAGATCTTTAAAATGCCAACTTTTTTGCAAACGATTTTAGAGAATGGTAAAGACCTTTAAATGTTAATTTTTTTTAAAAGTTTCACACACATTAACATAATAGTGGCTTTTATTTTAGCATTTGAACTGCTGAAAAACAGTGTTAGGTAGCAATCTTTTTTTATTTAAATTACTGTACCAAAATATATTAAAACACAGATTTTGCAAGCACCAGAAAATATTAATAGACAAAGTGAATCATGCTGGCATCTTCATATAACATTTATTTGAATATATAGCCCTAAAAGAAACGAACACAACCTCTGCAATAGAATTCATTAAAAAAAAGCATTCTTTAAGATCAACAAATTTATGCAAAGCTTTCATGGTTCCTAATTCCCCACTTACCAAAGAATGGAATTTAATGGCACAAAAAAATATTCCAAAAAACATAATGCAAGTAGATGACAAATTCCCAATTTATCTGAACTGAAAAAACTCATATGGAGAATGCTTGCAGTTATTAACCTTCCTCTTCTAAATCAACCTTTTTAATTAATCAATTAAAACTATTTTTAAAAGACTAAAAATTATTTACTGCACAAGTAAGTATAATTTTTTAATTCCCCTTTTTGCAATAAAAATTCCCCTAAGTCAGCATGTGTCACAGTCTCAGAAAGTCAGCATATGTTATTGCTATAAAAGTGCACCATAGACTAATTTGCATAAGGATATTTAAAGTGACTATAAAATCAATCTATAAAGAATGTGTCCAGAACAATAAATAGAAGTAGCAAACTTTTTATTGGCAGGTGATTACAACATTTCTTTATAATCAAAATAATTACAGGTGTCAAGAATTTTAACTCTTCGATAATGTTTAGTAGTTTCCTGGGTTGTAGCCTGGGTCTTGACAAATTCAATTATAATGTACATTTTTCACGAAAACTATTTACAATATATTTGAAACTGTTTGACCAAGACAGAATTGGTTATAAATAGCAAATATTTGACGATAAATTTATACCTTACACTCACCTTCTGTTATTCAAGAATTGTACTATTGCGTATTTATTAGTAGTTAAAATTCTTGTATTGTAAAATTGTCTATAGTTAAAATTGTCTATAATTAGTTAAAATTGTCTATATTTGTAGTGTATTGTATTGATTCGAACCAACAAAGCCAGTAGTTATATTTATTTTCTGTGTCCTTATGAAAACTGGCTAGTCAGTAGAATACTCTTCTTCAATTTTTAACCCTTAAGAATAACACATTTATCTTTTATGCATTATTGATGCTGTCATAGGATGCTTAGCCAAATCTCTCAACAAAAAATAATCACCTTTTAAGCACTCAAAAAATATTTTTAAGCACTAGCACTATATACATTAACAAAATGTAAAATAATTTTCAAAGACTTTACATGAGCATGATAAAATAACTAGTTTCTGACTATAAACTCTTTTCTTGATTATATTTGCCATTAAAAAATGATCAAGAGAGTTTTTGGTTCGATATCAAAATCAAGCCTAAAATTGAGAATATCTTGCAAAATGCCGCAGAGTTGCACATGAGAGTCCAAGAATCTCACTGAACCCAACAAATAATATGCGCCGAGAATCGACACGGTAAAGAAGAAAATCTCATTTTCGAAAAGGGAGCACTTTTAAAAAACACCCAATGCAAAAAAGCACCTTTAAGGGCTTTCAAAAAAACGCAAATCAAAAATAAGCACTTTTTAAAAACGCTACGCACCATGTGCCACACGCGACCACTTTTGATTTAGCGAATATCAAGGATAATTAAATCAATAAATTACTGTTGTTGAATGCATCAGTCAAGAAACAACATGCTATTTTACTTTAGAAATTTTTATTTAAATTTTTTACAATTATAGTATTTTCATTTTAACAGTATAATTTCTAAATATTAAAGAGCAATGAAAGAAATATTAGATATGTCCAGTAGACACAGAAAAATATCACAACATAAATAAGTTACAATCCTTAAAGTTAGCCAATTAATAAATAGTCATTAACTGTTGAATAGTTAATTTAATGGAATTCAAAGCCCTGAGATATGACTAATATTGAAAACTTCTTTGAGTTTGGATATCATCCAATATTTGACGAAGTTCTTCGTCTTCAAATCTACCTTCCAAGCTTGGTATTAATGTTTTTGCCTCCTCTGGAGTTTCCGGGCAGAGGTTTGCGAGCTGAGCAAGTTCATATTTGTGAACCTTTTTCTGAGTCAACAAACTTCGAACAGCAGATATCGTTTCCCGATTACGAAACCTACTAAATCGTTGGCAGTAATTCAGAGTTTTCATAAATACTTCAGGCAATTCTTGTTCTTCTTCTGCGCTTTCATTTTGCTGCTTTCTATGTTCTAATAACATAAGGACCTCTGATACCAAAAGAGTCTCTGCATTTTCAAATTCCTTCGGAAATTGTAATTCACTCGCATCTTCTTCAATCTGATCCATAACATAACTCGGAGCACTAGCTGCCATTTTAATATGAAAATGAATAACTTTCTACACAAAAAAATATTATTTAAAATCTTAATTCAAAACTTTTTTCGAGAAAAAGTTGCACCAACAAATTTAAATCAAAAATAAATGTAAGCAAACTACTGTTGCCATCTTCACAACAATTGAATCAAGTGACAGTAACGGCAGCTGAGAGGCTAAGAATCTAGTCAACCTGCCATCTTACGGCATTTTATCAAAGCTGTGAGAGAGGTTTCAGTATCTATTTATGTAATTTGACATTATTAATGCTTTACTTTGTAACTACGTAATGAACGAGTTTTGAATATTTAAAGGAAATTTTTTAGTTATTGACATGAACATTAAGGAAGTCACATGTGTTCTCTTTTATTTTAACGATTTTCCAAAGATATGCATTCAATCTCGTTTCGTCCGGCAGTGGACTGATCGTTAAGACACGGTTCCCAGCAGATCACCGAAGTCAAGCATCACTGGCTGCGGTCAGTGTGCGGGTGGGTGACCACTTGGATCAGTCTGCGTAGGGACCGAGGGTGTGCGGTATTGGTCCTCGTTAAACTGTGCTACCGTAAAGTGCTCGACTTCGCGCGCAGGTCGTCGGGCTACCGAAGCGGGGGTGCCATCCCCTCCGCAGAGGATCAAAATTGTGATGGCATGTCTTCGGATCATCCTCCGGGATGTTTCCCAGACCGTCGCCAATAGCCCATTGTGCAGCTCTAGTGCGACGTAAATTAACAACAACAACAATCTCGTTTCATGGGACAACTTATTATTATAATAACTATTTTTAACTTCCGAATTTGTATAAAATTAAATGAAAACTGCTCGAGAGGAAGAAGCAAAGCAAAATATAATTTATTTACATTTCCTAAAAATCTTTTAGAAACACGCCATTATGTTACTTTTTTTGTTTTTACCTATAATTTGTTATATTAAGAAATAAATCCTATGAAAGTAAAAAAATATAGTTTGAAAAATGAACTGTTTATTTTTTAAGTTTAAATTCGAGCCAATCTGAATAAAAGCTGAACTCAAGCTTAAACATTACTAATTTTTAGTAAGTAACGCCATGTCATCAAATGATTGAAATTATTAGTATACATGGGAACCCGGTGCACATCGAGTTATTGAAGTCTGATGACTTTTCAGTAGGAAAGAGGTGTTGTTATCCAGTGGAAACTAGTTCAAATAAATTAATCTGTTACTGATCAACTAGTGTTTGTTTGAGTAGTTTTCGTCACGTATTCCTGTATTCTTGTGATGTTGCAACTAAGGTAAAGTATATATGCTTGTTAACATTGCAACTATAATTAGTACAATTCGTTTATTTGCATGTAAATTTCTTGTAGTTAAATAATGTTTAAATATATTTCTAAAGTGTCCCTAAGTTAACAAGCTCAGTCTTAAAAGATTAAAAATCGATTAGTTATTTAAAACTAAATGGAACAAACTTTTTTTTTGCATTAACAATATTTGTACACATTTTCTATGATAGCTTGTCTTTACCATTCTGCTCCATGCACGTTTTGGGTTTTGACAATTTTTTCTGTTTTTGAAAACCAAAATATTGATATTAAATATTTTCATAATATATCTAAGTATTTTGGTAAATATTAATATTCAGAAAAAAGTGCAGCCCTTTAACTAATCCTTAGGTAATTTTAAAAAAAAAATATTTTAAACTATTTATCCCAATTTGCCTTTATAGAACATTTAACGCTTGTCTAACATAACAGTAAAATTAAATAGCCAAAGTATGTTAATTTTAGTTACTAGGACGCTTCGCCCCCTGCTCGTTGGCGCTCGCCAACCCTCCGAGCTGCTTTCGCAGTTCATTTCGGATTGCTTCGCAATCCAATGCTCGCTTTGCTCGCTCATTGGATACATTCTTAACGTCTAGCTTTTGTATACTTTTTTGAATACTGAAGTTCCGAAAACTTTTCACTGTAGAAAATTCTAAACCTGTACATTTCAATATTAATTTGAAATTGCAAACAGTTCACATATTTTTCTTAATCACACTATTCTAAATTTCAGTTGTTGAGAAAAGTAACTGTTGTAAGTTTTGTTTTAAAGTCTTTCCCACCAGAGGGCTAAAGCCATGTGTTGTAAAACAATATGAAATAGTA